GCTCAGCCTGCTGTGCCAAAAAGCTGCCCTTCATTATATTATTAATTCTAGTTTGCTTAGGTTTGGAATTTTCTATAAGCAAAAGCTAACAAAATATAGAGATAACAACCAAACGTAATGTGGTCCTTTAGAATTGGGCCTTTGCTTGAACAAATCATCCAGAAATAGAAAGGCCATGTGCCTTTCATAGAAACAAGGTTCTACTTAACTTTGCTCTTCGGGTTTGTTTTTGGTTCTTAAGATTTATTTATTTGAAAGGCAGAAATAGAGAGAGGGAGAGATTTTTTTCATTACCTAGTCCACTTTTCCAATGACTGCCAATGGCCAGAGCTGGGCTAGCCCAAAGCCAAAAGCCAGTCTCATCTGAGTTTCCCCAGTAGTTATGGAGGTCCAGGACTTGGGCTACCCTCTGCTTCTTTACCAGGTCATAAGCAGAGAGCTTGATTGGAAGTGGAGCAGCCAGGACTTGAACTGGTGACCATATGGGATGCCAGTGGTACAGATGGAGGATTATCATGCTATGCCATCTTAACATAAGATCACAGGGATCCCCAATACACAGGCTCAAATTGTTATGTAAACCATAAAGAGCCTTTAAAAAAATCACTCTCAATAATACCAAGGGTCACAGATAAGGAAGAATGATTCTTTGCCCTTTGAAAGGCCTGCTACATTAGGGCCAGCATTGTGGTGTAGCTGGTAAAATCACTACATGAAATGACATGGGCAGCCCAAATGGGCACCAGTTCAAGTCCTGGCTATACCAATTCTGAGCCAGCTGCCTGCTAATCCACCTGGGAAAGTAGTAGAGAATAGCTCTACTACTTGGGCCCCTACCACCCACATGGGAGACCAGGAAAAACTCCTGGCTTCCGCCTGGTCCAGTCATGGCTATTGTGGCCATTTGGGAAGTAAAATAATGGATGAAGATATCTCTGTTTTCTCCCTCTCTAACTCTGCCTTTCAAATACATAAATTTTTTAAAAGAAAATAAAAGGACACCACACTCCACCTGGATCTTTTCAGTCAAACCTATCTTGAATTCTGTGAGTCACAATATTGACACTAGCTTTGAAGAACAACACTCTTGAATAGGGAGATGTGCTACAGGGAAATGAATTTGCTGTTTTGCTTATAACTGTATCCCTTGACAACCAATCCGTGGGAACCCACATAATATTCATACTGAGATTAATTACATTATCCCTCTTGCAAAACCTAAGAGCTTCTAGAGAAACACCCTAAGTTTGCTGGCGTCAATTGTTGCTAAATGAATAGTACTTAAAGAATGCTGGCTTTCAGTCAAAAGGTCTGTTTGTACATTCCAGCTTAGATGTTGATTATGTGGCCCTGTGCAAGTGCTTACTCCTTTTCTGCCTCACTTTCTTCATCTGTCAAAGATAAATAACATTGCACAAATAAGCACAAGGTGAACTTCTACAGTAAAATGAGAAAACTTTTGAGGATGGGAAGGGATATCTCAAGAGTTGACCTCACAAAGAGGACAGCATCCTAATAGAAAAAGAGATTTAACAGCTTCTCTTTCAAAGGAGAAACTGGTTCTGGAAAAAACAAAGCCTGGCCCCGACATAACGTAAGTGAAGTAACTTAGCCTAGACAGGAAGCTATTTATACATGGTACAACGCAGAAATCAGGAGGATTCTGCACTTCTGGTATAAAGGACCTAGATTCATAGAGGACGACTAGTCAACTACATCCATGACTATTAGTTGGTACCAGGCATCCAATTCTGTGACATTCGTTTTTGTACTCCCTACAGAGCTTAGTACTAGTCACTGAACCACAATAGCCAGAAGAGGGGGCGGGCATCTGTGGTACAGGGAGTTTAACTGTTAGAATTCCTATCTCCCATAAACAAAGTGCCTGGGACAGGGTCCTGTCTCCACTTCTAATACAGCTCCCTGCTACTGTGCCTGGGAGGCAGTGGAGGATAGCTTACATACTTGGGTTCTTGCCATCCACATGGGAAACCTGGTCAGAGTTTTGGACTCCTGGCTCTTGTGGTATCTAGCCCTAGCTGTTGCAGGCATGCGAGGAGTGAACTAGCTGATGGAAGATCTTTCTGTTTCCCTCCCTCTGTCACTTGGCCTTTCAAATAAATTAATTTAAAACAATCTTCTTAAAAATGAAAACTTTCACTTGGTATGAATATATTTCTCATAGAATCAATTTAGAAAGTTAACTGGAAGGACTTCTGCCTTTATCTGCTACAGCTTGCTGTTAGACATTACTGCAATCCTGGTGGCACTAAATGACCCAAATTTAGTCTCTGATATTGGAAAGGTAGAAGTAAAAACTAAGTCTCACTAGTCAAAAGTCCAAAATTAGGTCTTTAAAATAAGTGTCAACAGAACGGCATACTTGCGTGTGGTTTTAGGGAAAAATCTGCATCTCTGTGTTTGCTAGCTGCCCATACTTCTTGGTTCATGGCCCCTCCTACCTTCAAAATTAGGAACAGCTTGTAGAATCTTTTTCACACCATACTGTCACTATCACTGATTCTTCTGCCTCCCTCTGCCACTTTTTTCTGAAAGGCAGTGTTAAAGCAGGAAGAAAGAGACAGCTCAATCTGCTAGTTTACTACCCAACTGGCCGCAATGGCCAGGGCTGGGCCAGACTGATGCCAGGAGCCTGGAACTCCATCTGGGTCTCCCATGTGGGTGGCAGGTACCCAAGCATCTGCACCATCTTCTGTTACTCTCCCAGGCACATGAGCAAGGAGATAGATCAGAAGTGGAACAGCACTCATACAGGATGCCAACATCACAGGCACAGGTAGCACAACTTGCTACCCAACACCAGCCCCCTTTGTGGCTTCTGAAATGTTATCACACTGAGTCCACCCAGGAAACCCACCATGTTAATTTCCCTATGCTAAGATCAACTGATTAGCAACTTTAACCTCATCTATAATTTTTTAAAAAGATTTATATTTTTATTATTTTTTTATTGTTAAGGCAGATATACAGAGAGGAGAGACAGAGAGGAAGATCTTCCGTCCGATGATTCACTCCCCAAGTGAGCGCAACGGGCGATACTATGCCGATCCGAAGCCAGGAGCCTCTTCCGGGTCTCCCACGCGGGTGCAGGGTCCCAAAGCTTTGGGCGGTCCTCGACTGCTTTCCCAGGCCACAGGCAGGGAGCTGGAAGGGAAGCGGGGCTGCCGGGATAGAACCAGCGCCCATATGAGATCCCGGGCGTGCAAGGTGAGGACCTTAACCACTGCGCCACCACGCCGGGCCCAACCTCATCTATAATTTAATTTCCCTTCCTCATTTTATCAAACATATAAGGTTGTCTTTGGAAGTGGTACATCTAGCATAACTTCCAAAGTTAAACTACCTGTGCAAGATGAACATTAATGCTGTCATCTCAGAGTTCTTGATTGCATTTAAGGACATTATACATTCCTCTATATGTTGTAATAAACAAACAAAAATGCATTACCAACTAAATCGCTATGCCTCTTAGTAGGAATCTTGGTTCAGTGTTAATCAATTGAGTTTTATCACACTTTTCAGTTCCTGGCAGCTTGAAAAGAAAGACATGTAGCACTGAAATAGGTATATTGTCTCTTTTTGAGGGGACTAACAGTATCTTAACATCACTTTTTGCCAAAATAATAAATGCTAAATACTTGTCTTGCATGCCCCAGGATCCCATATGGGCACTGACTGCTCCACTTCCCATTCAGCTCCTTGCTTGTGGCCTGAAAAAGCAGCAGGGGATGGCCCAGAGCCTTGGGACCCTACACCTGCATGGGAGACCTGGAAGAAGCTCCTGGCTTTGGATCGGCTCAGCTCTGGCCCTTGTGGCAACCTGGGGAGTGAACCAATGGATGAAAAATCTTTTTTTCTGTTATCTCCTTCTCTGTAAAATCTGCCATTCCAATAAAAATAAATAAATCTGTAAAAAAAAAATCTGGTAAAAGAAATTTAATATTTTTAAATTTTAGTTCAAAATAATGGAAATAGTGGTGGTGACCAAAAAGTTAAACTTCTGTTTCTGACTTTTACTCAAAAAGAGAAGCAAATACATTTGTAGTGATAGTACTCCTCAGATATATTTGAATATAAAATATCTTACCGTTTATTTAATATTTTTTCTTTTCTTAGACACATTCAAAACAAGTAATGATTCTCTCTGGAAAAACTGGTCCTTTTACAGATGGGGAGTCAAGCAAGGGAAGAGAGAGGCTAGACGACTGTCCCTAGGGGAAAACGGAAGAACTGGAGAGCAGCTCAGACAAAGGGAGTGCAGGGAAAAGCAGTCATTGGAGTAGGCTGTGCTTCCAATCTGTTGCTGGTTTACAAAGTGCATCTATTCCTGGAGGACACAGTAACAGCTAACCCAACGCGGACAAGGCAGGCTGCGCCAGATTCTTTCTTCTACAAGTCTGCACTCTCCCTCCCGGGGGTGCCCGTGTGCCCTGAACCCACCAGAAAAGCCCATGCATCCCATGCACTTCTTATGAAAGCAAGCACGCACGCATTCGTTTGCTCATTCATTCTTACTGAGCACCTAACAGACAAAACGCACGGGACTAAAAACGAAAAAAAAAAAAGTATACAGGGTATAAAAGTGCGAAATACGTGGTATTTATTTGCATTAATGTCTGCCTCCGCCCCCACCTAACCCACAACACTTCCAGGAAAGAGGTCCTTATTGTTTTCTAAGTTGGTTTTTTTTTTTTTTTCCCTATCCTTGGTATAGGTTACAGTACCCACACAGACCAAGTCCTTACTGAACAAAGGAGTGACTTCAAAGCGTATTTTTGAAAGGAGGCTACTTTCTCAGATTTGTAGCCCTGCGAGTAGACACGATGCAAAAGGGAAAATCTCTTTATTGTGAGCACAAGCTTTCCCGGATGCCTAGGTGGCCACAGGGAAATGAGAGAGAGAAGATGCACGAGGGTCGGGACTTTGGGGCTCTCGACCAAGGTGCTCCCTGCATACCCCAGCCCGTCCGCGTGCCTCACCAGCTCAATGGCCACTACGTCCCGCAGCGCCACAGCCCACCGGATGGACTTGGGCGGGTTCTCGGTCAGGTAGATGAGACGGTCGCTGAGCACCACGTACTTGAAGGTGTGGTTCTCCGAGTCGGACACCACGATGCAAGGCTCGTAAGCGCGGATGGCATCGTAGTCCTTGGGCGCCAGATGCCTCCGCAGGAACGCGTCTAGGCGGCTGTTAGTGCGCGCGGGAAAGCCGGACTGTGCAGGGCTGGCCATGCTCCGGCGCCCGCTGGGACGAGTGCCCGGGGAGTAGGGCCCCCAGGTCCGCCCGCCTCCACCCCACGAGGCTATGGAACCCACAGTGGAATCCCTGCCGCCACAATGCGGCGCGTCTGCCTTGGGCGGGGAAACAGCCTGGCTCAACTTGAGGGGGTTCCGCCCCCAAAGTGTCCTACGGTCAGACACTAGAGGGCGGGGCAAAACCTGGCTCCTTAAGGGCCAGGTTGCTGGGCACCTGAGCTGATGCCCGCAGAGTACCCTTCGAAGGGCTAGCACTTTAGGGGCTTTCCCAGCGTGGCCCATCCCTCACCCTGCTCTAGCCCTGCCTACTGCAGCTGCTGGGGAGTCCTACCCTACACCAATTTTATCGATAAAGGAAGTCAGTTTTACTGTGGTTTCTTAAGAAAGAAACTTGAAAGAGAGCGGATTTTATGGTGTATTTTTTTTAAACAACCCTAGAGCCCTAGTAAGACACTGATTCAGCACTTAGGTACAACATTGCCTGGTCTATTTCTCTAGTGCTGTGTACCCAAGCCCGGGAGGATCCGGGTAGGGTGAAGGAGCCGGGCAGGTGGGTATCTTGAAAACCTGAAGTGGATAGGCTAGTGAATGCTGTTCATACCGCCCCGAGACTACAAAGAGTATTGCTGAGCTTTCTACTGGCCAGGACCATTCACACATTAGTTCAGAGATGAGAAGAGCACCACAGAAACTTGTCCAGGTGAGGGCTTATGTTTTATTTCAAGTCCTGGAAAGCCATTTATCTCCCCTCCTCCTCCTTCTCTCACCCAAAGACCTGATCATAGAAAACATATCATTGCTCCAGCTACCCACACCCTGAATCAAATTATACATTCTTCATTGTAATTTATATTTCCCTTTTCTCCATTCCTTACTATTGTGTACTGTAGGTCGTAAACAATGTCAAGACACTGTATTTCTTGGAGATTGCTTGGTGCACAGGGAGAGAAGAGCCACCTGCTGGCAAAATCTGAAACGGCTGCACGTTCAGAACGCGATCAAAGCTAAATGCATCTCACCCCCGCAAGCTTCACTGGTAAAGAAAGCTGCATGAATATTTCCTCTGAAAACGATTCCTCACTGTTGCTTCAAAGCAAGAGGAAGGTAAAAGGCCTTTCCTCTCTGTGGACAAGAACACCTGAGAGACAAATAACTGTCCCAGAAGCTGGAAGCGAGGCTCCAGTACCATGAGGCTGCTAGTGGGTCTCTCCAGCTTCCTGTTGCACACCCATTTCACAGGAACAAGAGAAACAGAAGGGCTGAACTAGGATCTGGAAAGACAGACAGCTAACCTATCAGTCAGGAAGCCCCTCAGGAATACATTTTTGGCGATAAGGGTAATAAATGTAACAAATGCTAGAATAGGGCACACAAAGAATATCTAACACAAGGATTGGTGGCTAGGGCGACCACAGCTGAACCTTTAACTTTGGGGTACACAGAGGGGAAAGAGTCACAGTTGCCAGGCATTCCATGTTCTACACTGTTGCCAGGATCACAGTGAAGTTCAGACTGCAGGAAAGGGATTGCATGAAATGCAAGGATCACTGGGTTCGAAGCTGGCAGCATGTCGCCCTGTTACTTACTGACTGTTGGGATTTTTTTTGGAGACTCACTGAACCTGTCTGAGCCTCCATCTCATCATCTCTAACATGGAACCACCACTGTTGCTCCGGGAGTTGGTGTGGGAATTATGAACTCAGCAAGACATGTGGAGTATTGTTTCCTTTTCTTTTGGAAAGCTTCACATGAATAGTTCACCCAGACAGACTGAGATAGGCACTAACTTGTTTAAGTTCCATATTTGGTACAGGTCCCACACAACCCAGCACCTAGCCTATGTTTCTTGACACAGCTCCCAAAACAAATGAAAGCTTATTTACCTGAAACTAATTCCCGAGGCATTTTCCTTGACTTTCACCAGAATGAGCAGTCTTGCATTCACAAATGACCAATTCAACTAAGTTGAAAGGAAAGTACTTATGCCCATAGGACTGCAGAGCCAGATGACCTTGGTTCAAATTCCAGCTCTCCCAGTCTCGGGAAAGCTGCTGTATGCCTCAGTTCTTCCATCTGTGGACAGGGCTAATAGCACCAATCCCAAAGGATTATTTTGAGGATCTCTCTCTCTTCCTCTATCTCAGCCTTTCAAATAAGAAAATATTTTAAAAATGTATTCACAGAGCTTGGTGTGGTAGCCCAGTGCTTAAAGTCTTCACTTTGCACTCACCCGGATCCCATATGTGCACAGCTTCTAATCCTAGTTGCTCCACTTCCATCTAACTCCCTGCTTGTGGCCTGGGAAAGCAGGCAAGGACAGCCCAAAGCCTTGGGATCCTGCACCTGCGTGGCAGACCCAGAAGAGGTACCTGGCTTTGGATCGGCTCAGCTCCAGCCGTTGTGGCGTTTTGAGGAGTGAACCAGGGGACAAAGGATTTTTCTGTCCCTTCCCTCTGTGCAAATCAGACTATTTAAATTTGTAAAAATCTTTTTTAAAAAAAGTATTCACAATAAATATTTAAATATTTACAACAAAGAGCAACCAGAAGACATACAGCCATCATCATAATGACATCTAACATCACGAAAATAACTTGAATCTTGAATTTCTAAAAAAAAAAAAAAAAGCATGTTCTTTGGCTAATGCTCCAATGCCCTGTTTTTCCCCTGTGGGCTTCCTACAACACATCCATACTTCCTCTATAAAAAACATTCTGATGACTAGACTAGCACCAACATACACAGCACACCTGACCTGTTTCTTCCCTGCTAGGAAATCTGTCATGAATGAGCCTTTGGTGATAATGACACTAGGCTTAACAAACACTGAGATGGAGCATAAAAAAGGAATCTAACACACAATTTAGTGGTTACAAGCTCACAGATTATTTTTGATTCATGTTAATGCATTAATCATTTATTGAGAAATTAATATCCATAAATAACATTTTCAGTATTTAAGAACTGATACACAAATTTAATATAAAAGCACTGTAAAATATATTAATGACATAAAGGTTTAAAAAATGTAACATTAAGGAAAAAATCAAGCATGAATTTGGGCTAAGGAAACCTGGAAAGCTTTCATGAGGGAGTAGCATTTAAGAAATACTCAGAGTGAGACCTTTTCCTTTCACTGTCAAGTTGCTCTGCTACCTGATTAAATCAGTAGTACATGGCTATTACGGAGATTTTCTTTTTTTTTTAAATCCAAAAAGCTTACAAGGAAGAAAATAAAAGTCACCTGCAACTTTACCTCCCACAGATAGCCGTTTCAGGTAATGCATATGTATTTCTCTATTGCAGTGAGTCTAGGAGAGAAGTCTTGAGTTCCGGTCCTAGGACGGAGGTGCAGGCACTGGCACAGCAGTGTCCATCTCGGATCACAGTGCCCAGGTTGCAGCCACGGCTCTGCTCCTTAGTGTCCTGCTAGCTCTTTTCCCAGGAGGCAGCAGGTCATGGCACAGGTGTTGGATCCCTGCTACCCACAGGGAAGACTGGGATTCAGTTCTTGGATCCTGGCTTTGGTCTTGGCTACACTCGGTAGTTAAGAACTGAACCAGCACATGAGAGACCTATCTCACTACCTTTCAAACAGTAATGTAGTTTTTGTTTGTTTATTTGTTTTAATATTTACTGGAGCTAGGACAAGCTTAAGCCAGCAGCCAGGAATTCCATCTGGCCTCCCATGTAGGTGGTAAGGGGCTTAAGTATCTAAGAAGTCAACTTGTGCTTCCCAAGCACATTAGCAAGGAGCTGAATAGGAAGAGTAGCAGAAATGGAACTGGCACTCTGATTTTAGAGGTGGGTATCCTAAGCAGCCACCTAGTCCACTGTCACCTCGCTTACCCATTTCCCCTCCCAAGGGGCTAGGTTGGAGTGAGAGAGGCATGGAACTAGGACAGATGTGAGACACAACTATGCTAAACCAGGATGGTGACACGGAGCATCAAGGAGACCACATAATGACCACATCAGCAGCAAGATACATGACGTGAGGAAGATCTCCACTCTGGTTTAAGTTTGGGGTGATATAACTAAATGTTTACAGCCTGGATGATTCATATAACAAATACTTTCTTCAAAATCATGGTGCTAACAGAGCCACCACCTAGTTAAGGCCCTGCTTCCTGGTTTGCAAAGAGCTTTCTTTTCCTGTGCCCTCAAATGGCAAAAAGAAAGACAGCCATCTCTTCACCTTTCCTAAGGACACTAATCCCGTTCAGGAGGGCTTTACTTCATTGCTTAATTACCTCCCACACCCATCCTCACCTCCAATGCCATTGTATTGGGATCAGGATTTTGACGTATGAATTTTGGAGGTACACGAAGTTGTCCGTTACAGTTGCTAAGAGTTGAGAGTACAAATTAAACAGGAGTACAGATCACTGCAAACAAAAATATAGAACCAGAAGGCATTTTCCGAGAATCGAATACTGAAACTGCAGAAATAGGTAACTTCAGAAGGGGCAAGTGTAGACAAAAAAGAAGCAGATGGCTAAGATCAGACGAACTAAGAAAGTAAAAGTAAGTATGTGATGAAAAAGACAAAAAGGAGAGCTTAAAAGTAACAGAAGCTTGAGAATATAGGGTCAGAAGTCAAGAGAATTTCAGTCAGAAAGGAAATAGCCAACAGAGAAACTGAAATGAATGAATGAATGAAAGTGGTCACAGTGCTAGGTGATTTCTAAGAGTTTTAACAGAGTGACTTGGGAATAGAACATCCCTGACAAAAAGTGAAGAGAAGGAGTAAGAGTAGGTAGTACAGGTGGTGTACTGGAGACAAGAAGGCTGTAACCAAGAGCCCAAGGTTATAATCAACCATTCACCAGCCAGACACGCTATTTAAAGCAGATCCACTTTGGTTTCCTCACTTGTAAATAATGATACAATGAAATAATGATATGAGGGGACAGAGCATTGACTCAGCTGGCTAATCCTCCACCCCCAAGAGCCAACATCCCAACTGCCCACTTTCTATCCAGCTCCAATCATGGCCCGAAAAAAAGACAGAGTAGGGTCCAATGCCTTGGGACCCTGCACCCACGCACCCACGTGGGAGACTCGGAAGAAGCTCCGGCCCGTAGATTTGGACTGGCTAGCTCCAGCCATTTTGGTCATTTGGGAAGTGAACCAGCAGATGGAAGATCTTTCTATATCTCCTTCTCTCCATAAATCTGCCTTTCCAATAAAAATAAATAAAATGTTACAAAACAAAAGACTGATAGGATGGAATAAATACATGTTTATCTACTTGGATTCTTGGAGGCTGAAAGAAAAGAGACAGAAACAAAGAAGTTTATTTAAACAACAAAACAGTATATTTATAAGATGAGGAACTGACTTACACTGCTCTTCTACAATGTCATCCATCTTAGCAGCTGTTCTTGAGACCAGGGTTAACAGCACAGACTCTGCAGCAAGGGTGGGGCACCTTTTTCCTGCCAGGAGTTATCCAGATCTTTACATCACTTGTAGACTACACAAAACAATCAACTAGAAAATAGGCGAGCTCTAGGTTTATCACATTCTGAATCCCACCTGTTGTTGGTATAGAAGTACCAAGCATGAATATGGCCCAGAGGCCAGATGTACCCCACCCCTGCACTAGAGTCAAACTCTAATTGTTGGAACCCCAAATCAGATACTTCTTCACACTTCAGATTTCTCAACTAGAAAATGGAAATGATAGCATCTTCCTCTCTTCACTGTTCTCAAAATAAACAATCAGGGGCCAGTGCCATGGCTTAATTGGCCAATTCTCTGCCCACAATCTCTGGCAGCCCACTCAGGAGCTGGTTTATGTCTTGGCGGCTCCACTTCTGAACCAGCTCCCTACTTATTTTCTGGGAAAGTAGTGGGGGATGACCCAAAGCCTTGGGACCCTGCACCCATGTGGGAGAGCTGACAGGATCAGCTGAATTCCAACCATTGCAGTCATTTGGGGGAATGAACCAGCAGATGGAAAATCTTTGTTGCTTCTTCTCTCTGTAAAAATCTACCTTTCCAATAAAAATAACTGTGCATGGCACACAATAGATGCTCCAAAATGTTGATAAATAACATATAAAAGTATTGCCACATGCAAACAGGCATGCCTCACATTAAAACAACAACAATGGTATGTGATCAGTATTTTGACACTGGCATTTTATGTTGATCTCAGATGAGAAACTGCATATCCCTTTATGGACTGGACAGGATACGGAATGGTCAAATTTAATATCTCTTTCAGAGGTAATAATAACTTTTTCAGTTGTATCCAAATACTTACTTATTTTTCGAAAAGGATTTATTTTTACTGGAAAGGCAGATCTACAGAGAGAAGGAGATACACAAAGACCCTCCATCTGCTGGTTCACTCTCCAGGTGGCTGCAATGGCCAGAGCTGAGCTGATCCAAAGCCAGAAGGCAGGAGCTTCATCTGGATCTCACAGGCAGGTGCAGGGACTGCTGTACTTGGACCAGCTTGTACTGCTTTTCCAGGTCATTGACAAGGGGCTGGGTGAGAAGTTGAGTAACTGAGACACAAAGTGAGTAAAGATGCCAGTGCTACAGCAAGTGGCTTCACCCGCAATGCCACAATGCCAGCCAAAATTGAGGGATTTTTAAAATCCTAGGTATCTAAACTACCATAAAGGAAAGACCAATGTCATTAAAGATAAGCTGTGGAATACTAGATAAATTGTAAGCTTTGCATATGATGAAATATGTATCAAACCAATTTACAAATGAAAAAAGCAAGGGCGAGGACAGTTACAACCCCTAAGACTTAATTCTTGGACTAGTGGCCAAAGTCCTCGCTTTGCATGTCCTGGGATCCCATATAGGGGTGATTGGATTTGAATCCCCGCTGTTCCACTTAGCATTCAGCTCCCTGCTTGTGAGATAGGAAAGCAGAGGAGAATGGCCCAGAGCCTTGGGACCCTGCACCCGTGTGGGAGACCCAGAAATTCCTGGCTTTAGATCGGCTCAGTTCCAGCCCTTGTGGCCACTTGGGGAGTGAACCAGCAAATGGAAGATCTTTCTGTCTCTCCTTTTTTCTGTAAAACTGACTTTCCAACAAAAACAAATCTTTAACAAAAAAGACTGAATTCTTTTGAGACAGGGCAATAAGCTGAATATACTGCACAGTGCAGCTCCACTGGGACCAGGATGAATGTTGAGGTGCCACAGCATTCACTGACAGTCAAGGCAGTCGCTCATGCCATTCACTTCCTGAGTTGTAACTATGAACTGGCCCTGGTGTTGACCAGAAAGCAAGCACAGGAATCCCAGCTCAAGCTGTTCACCAGTAAATCAGACATTGGGAGGGATGAGGGAGCTGCGGCAGCAGAGCACGCCTGTCTTCTGCTCTGTGGCACCAGTTCGTGCCCCAGCTGCTCCATCCACTGATGGCCCAGGAAAGCAGCAGAGATCAGCCCAAGTCCTTGGGCCCGTGCACGCACGTGGCAGCAGGAAAAAGCTCCCAGCCTGGGACCAGCTCAGAAGACCTTTATCTCCTTTCTCTGCAAAAGCTGCCTTTCAAATAAAAACAAATCTTCACTTAAGATATGACATGTGATGCAAAAACCGTAAAAAGAATATTTTATTATGAATTGTCTAACGCAGTGTCCTGCACAAGCGAGTCACTCAATAAATGTGGCTGTTAATTTCTACTTCTTTCTGACCCCAAATTTTGTGGTTGTTTACAGTAGCCTCTGGCTGTATCCTGGCCTACACTCACACCGGATAATCTGCAAGGAGATCTAACATTGAGTAATCGCTTCCCTTTCCAGGACAATTTAAAGTGAATTTTCAAAACTCGTCAGCCCTCAGCTGAACCCAGGAACTCGGGTCTAGCGGCAGCACCCCATAAAGGGAATTCAACAGTTGCCTCACACACGTGGCGGGAATCACGTCAGCCTTCATTTCGGAAACTCGGTTCTCTAACCTACCAGCACGAAGCCTTCGCGGACCGCGCCAAGGCCACCGGACCTCGCGACTCTCCCAGCCGGTGGACGGCCGGAAGCCTCGTCCCCGCGTGCGCCACATAGGCGCGGCGACCACGCCGCCCGGAAGCGCCTCCTGCCCGTTGCACGCCGGGAGTTGTAGTCCCCGCGGCCCAGCCCCGCGGGCTGCCGTCGCACTCTCTTCCTGAGGCAGCCGGCGCTTGGCCGGCGCGGCACCAAGGCGGGGAGCGCGCCTCCGGCTGACTCAGCGGCGGCGTCCGCCGGCCCTCGCGCTCTCCGCTTTGGTGGGGCGCCGACTCCGCCCGCCCGCTCGCTCGCTGGCCTGCCAGGCGACGCGGCGAGAGGCGCGCGGCCGCGGCCAGCTCGCTCCCCGGCGTTGGCTCTTGCGGTCGTGGCGGTGGAGTGCGGCGACCGGGACGAGGGCCGCTCCTCCTGCTCCCGGCGTGCGGCGCCGCTCGGCCCGGCTCAGCGGCCCTGGGCATTGCAGGCGGCAGGACGAGATGGAGTGATCGGGAAGGTGACTCGAGGCGCTCGGGGTGGAGGCGGCGGGAGGCGGGGGCTTGCGAGGAAGTTGGCCGGTGCGGCCCGGCCCCGGGGTAGGGGAGCCCCCGACGGCCCGGGATGGGGTGCAGGCCGGGGAGACCCTCCATGGCGGTGCCGCCCGGGGCCTGGCGGACCAGGTGGGGGCGGGTGCGAGCCGCGGCCGCCCGTTGCCTGGTGTTTCATCACCCGAGTTGCCACGAGGCTGCCTTTGGCGGGGTGGGGGAAGGATGGGGACCGGGCCGGCATGGCCGGGAGTGGGGGGGACCACCTCCGTCCCACCCATCGATCACTTGATAAAGGTCCCCACCCCAGCCTGTGGGGGGAGGAGGAAAAGCGTTTTCTTCTGCGTAGTAGTAATTCCTCCAGCAGGACGCTCCATGCCTTCTGTTCGCTTCCTCCCAGTCATGCCGGAGAAGGCGTGATGTCTCTCCGTAACCAGAAAAACGAGTACTTTTTGAACGCGTTAATTAGTGGTTACTACGGGATGGGGGCAAAGAGGGAGGAGTCAGGTTTTTATTAAAGCGACGCCGCGTGGTGTTCAAAGGCTGGGGAGATGAAGTAACGCCTAGCTTTTGAACCAGGCTTCGGTGGTAGGTGTGGAAGAATTTTCTCCAACTGGTTCCAGAGAAAGTTTGTAGTTGTGTTGGTGGCGTTCCCCCGCACCCCGGCGAGTGCCTGACCGGCGTCAGCGGCTGCAGGACGAGTCTTGGCAGGGTCGCTGGGCACCCGGGAAGAGTGGGGCGGTTGTTGGCGCACATGTAGGTAACCTACCACGTTGTGTTCCGTGTGGTTGTGCGGCTGTGTTCCCTGTAGGGATTCCTACGCTATTGACAACTGTAACGAGTTTGTTTCCTTAGATTGGTGATTGGCTGAGTGTTCCTGAAGCGCCACACTTCTAGGTTCAGGGTGACTGGATCAAGCCCAAGCCGTTTTGTCCCTAATGCTAGCAACCTGGCCCTTCCCCATCTGGCCATCAGGAACACTCAGACTGGCTTTTCTGTCTGTAGGGGTTTTTCCCTTCCAGGGGAACTCAGGTTTTCTTGTCATTTGGGGCCAGGGAGGTCCCGCCTTTGTTGTTTGTTTTCTCATCTTTTCAAACAGGTCCCCACCCCACCCCCACCCCTGGGGCGGGTATAAATAAGCCATTTGAGGGCTAAGCATGAATGTGCATACCTTAACTCTTAGGCATTTGCAACGTCCTGATTAGCTGTTCCGTTTCCCATTTTGTAGTAAGTCCTCTTCCCCTCCCACCCCATCTCAGGTCTTGTTGAGTTGTCCTTGTGGCCCCAATTTAATCACAAGACTGGAATACAAACCTTGGTCTTTCCAATTGCAGAGCTCATGTTCTACTTCCTAAGGGCACTGGTGAATATTTTGGAGGCAGTCCTTATCCTAAAATTAATTAATGAAAGAAAGCTAGTACACTGTCAGGGACCCCACGGAGGTGCTTAGGAGCCTGTCTACTCCAGTTGGGGAGGGTTGGACAGCAGGGGTCAAGGGAGCATTCTTGAAAGAGGTACCCCCCCCCAAAGTCCGAAGTTGACTCATAAAGGACAAGCAGGGGTTAACCAAGTAAGGAAAAGAGCAGTGTGTGCCAAGACAGAGTGCCCCTGGAGAAGTGCCCTGTGGTTCAGAATCAAAGGCCTTCCTGCTTCGGGGTGCCTGTTTGGGCACCTTACGCTAAGGTCAGTGGAGAGGTACTGCCTTGCTGTAGTCCTGCAGTACCAGGAACCCCAAGGGGCCAAGCTTCCCTCTGCAGGGCTCTCCGCTCACATCCTGACAGCATTTATTCTGGCAGGCTCAAGGGAAGAGAAAGCACATGGTCGGTGGGGCCCTGTCTCCCAGAGCTAGTCCTGGCCTCACCGCTTGTAAAAGACTCCCAGGTCCCACTCAGGCTCCTGGCCTATGGAGATTTCTCTGTGATTGTGGTAATTTACAGAATTGCCCCCAGAACTCATGGGAGGTCCCCAAGACCTCACAGGACTTAATAGAGTCTAGTCCAGGTTTGCACATCTTTTCAGATGGTAAGCGCTCTGGGGGTCTCCTCGTGTCCTCTTAGACCCTCTATTGTGAAGAAATGGATTACTTCCCAGAGTTTAAAACAAAAAAAATGGCAGTAAAGTCATTTTTGAATTTTTGCATCTGTTAAACCTTGGAAAGACTGGCAAGAGAGAGGTCTGTAAACAGCAGAACTAGCCCATTGTTCCAAAGCCAAAGGACTGATTTTTCCACTCATGACTTCCTTTTTATTTTATAAACAGGCCAATACAGATATTGAACTCTGTGTTCTGGCATTCTCATTAAAAGAAAAATATGTGTTACTCACATCTGCAACTAGGCAAATTACTTTAATATATACGATAAGATAATCTAGGTTTGTCTACCTCATACAGCTGTACTTTTGAGCACTGGAGATAATAAGTAACAATAGCACATAAATTAGATGGTTCTATTTAAAGTAGAAAATAATTACTTTCTGTGTTTTCTGAAGGTTCTAAAGAGTAAGAACTGGAGCACTTTAATTACGTACTACTGTAGATTTTTATAATTTATGTATTTGTGGAGTACTTAGCAGGACCCATTCTGCTGAGGCCAAGTCTCCTTTAAGTTGTAGTTTGGATAAATTTCAAAAGGTTTTCTTTAAACAGGTAAGCTGGTTTGTACAATGTTATCTGCTTGTTTCAGCATTCTGGATAAGCACCTGTTTTATTTATCAAGTATTGTTTTCTTTCAATTTTGTTTTTCTTTTGTGTGTGTCTGCAGATGTTTATAGATTCTTCTCTGGGATCAGAGGGCACGCCTGTTGTAACCCGACAACTGCAAGTATAGCAGCAGGGATGGATGAACAGGCTCTGTTAGGGCTGAATCCGAATGCTGATTCAGACTTCAGACAAAGGGTAAGATGGTTTGGTTGTTTTTGAAGGCACGAGTTACTACTGATTTGAATACGAACTGTATATGATGAGAAAGGTTCAATTTAATGAGAAGTCGTTTGAAACAAATCAGAGGTGAGTGTATCCTGAATGCAAAAACAAAAAAAACCCCATTAAGTTTGTGATTTATTTTCTGTTCAGTATGTTGAACAAAAGTATTAAAATTTCACATAATTAGTCCCGGCGCAGTCACGCAGTGGTTAAGGTCCTCGCCTTGCATGCCCGGGATCCCATATGAGCGCCGGTTCTATCCCGGCAGCCCCGCTTCCCTTCCAGCTCCCTGCCTGTGGCCCGGGAAAGCAGTCGAGGACAGCCCAAAGCTTTGGGACCCTGGACCCGCGTGGGAGACCCGGAAGAGGCTCCTGGCTTCTGACCGGCATAGCACTGGCTGTTGTGCTCACTTGGGGAGTGAATCATCGGACGGAAGATCTTCCTCTCTGTCTCTCCTCTCTGTATATCCGCCTTTCCAATAAAAATAAAATAAATCTTAAAAAAAATTTTTTCACATAATTGAAGGTGAGTCTTTATGTGACATCACGTCAGTCAGTATTTCTAACTATTTAAAAGTAGTGCCTTTCTAATAAAAAAAAAATAACAAAAAATAAATCTTTTTAAAAAAAAAAAGTAGTAATGTGGAGGATTGTCCAGAGGGGTTTGTGTTGTAGCACGCGTGCATGTTTTATTTTTGTGTGCCCTGGCTTGGTCATCAGTACAAGTTGTGTTAACATTGATGTGACTTAGTCTAGGCAGGCATACAAATAAGTCGTTAATGATGTGCCATGTCTTCACCTATGTAGAAAGATAACATGACCAGCAATCCATTATGTGGTACTAGGATATACAAGTAAATGTAAACAATTAAGTACAAATTGTTAAAATTATTATAATGTCTGTAGCCAAATCATAAAAAGAATCTAAAGGATAAGCCTAAAATTTTCTGAAAATCAGACATTCCAAAGAGTGGGATGAGTGGAACAAGAGGCATTTTCTCTTTTCATACTTTGTGTAAATGAGCGAAGCAAGGTTAACGTTCTCACTTCACATGCATTCACAAGTCCAGACCCTTGTGAACTACTGATGCATGACTATGAATTAAGGGCTCTAGGGAGCCCTTGCACACCTTGGATGATTTGCTATGACTCATGACACTCAAGAGAACTTTGCTTATCCATTATCAGCGTGTCAGGAAGGATGTGACTGTGGAGCAGCCAGCTGGAAGACATGGACAGGCAGGGCACGCAGGAAAGGCCCCGGGCTCTTCTACCTGCTCTGCTGCACCACCCTCCCAGCCACCAGGAGCGCCCTGTCCTCAGGCCCCTCTGCCTGTGCTGGTGCTTGGTGCTGGGCTGGAAGTTCAACATGATGATTACTTGCTTCTTCCAATGAAAGCTTTCCTGGAGCCCTAGCATAAGTCACCTCATCTGCTTATGAAACTAGAATGATCCAGGGGCTTGTCATAAATAAAAAAGACATTCAGGGGACTCTAAGGATTTTAAGAGCTCTGTGCTAAAGGGGGCTGTGGGGCTCTCAAGTATATTTCTTTTTTTTTTTAAGATTTATTTATTTATTGGAAAGTCAGATATACAGAGAGGAAGATCTTCCGTCCGATGATTCACTCCCCAAGTGAGCGCAATGGCCGGTGCTATGCCAGTCCAAAGCCAGGATCCAGGAGCTTCTTCCAGGTCTCCCACACAGGTGCAGGGTCCCAAAGCTTTGGGCGGTCCTCGACTGCTTTCCCAGGCCTCAGGCAGGGAGCTGGATGGGAAGTGGAGCTGCCGGGATTAGAACCGGCGCCCATATGGGATCCCGGAGTGTTCAATGCGAAGACTTTAGCCGCTAGGCCACACCAGCGGGCCCAAGTATATTTCTTACATACCACATTTACACTTAAGATAGTGCTTGATGGTTCTCATACATAAAATCACCTTCGTTTAGTAGTTCTCCGTGGGAGCAGTCATTGAGAACACATTTCAAAACCCAACCCTTCATTCGTAAAATTGCATGATACAAGAAACAGTCATTTTTAAAAATTTATATTTTTTTGGATACAATTTAGTTGGCAGGAAATAGTCATTTAAGTATAAATATGGTGATTGTTTAACTCAAAGAGGAAAACAATTTTCACTTTAACCTAGTTTGTATGTCTTTCTACGACTACAGCAAGTTACAGAAAACTGCTAGATGCATTGTGCTCGGGCACTCCGTATTCTTTCCTTTTTTGTCAAATTGCTGATCAGAATCACTGTGTATTGTTCATCGCTAACTAATGGGATACCACAGTTTTAGAAAATACTGATTACCTGAAATCAGGTTCCTCTATAGCTTATTGTTTCTTTTACTTTATATCAGATTTGTATTGGTACATGATGGTTTTAAAATAACCCAGCATCTTTTTTTTTTTTTTTTTTAAGATTTATTTTTATTGAAAAGGCAGATATACCGAGAGGAGGAGAGACAGGAAGATCCTCTGTCCGATGGCCCACTCCCCAAGTGGCTGCAGTGGGTGGAGCTGAGTCAGTCCAAAGCCCTGGGCCATCCTCAACTGCCTTCCCAGGCCAGAAGCGGGGAGCTGGATGGGAAGTGGGGTCTCTGGGATTAGAACCGGGCCCAATAACCCAGCATCTTAAAAAAAATTGATTATTATAATATATTTTTAAAGATTTATTTATTTTTATTGGAAAGCCTGATTTACTGAAAAAAGTAGAGACAGAGAAAGGTCTTCCATCTACTGGTTCACTCCACAACTGGCCACAATAGCCAGAGCTGAAGCTTCTTCTGGCTCTCCCACGCAAGTACAGGGTCCCAAGGCCTTGAGCCGTCTGCTGCTTTCCTAGGCTACAAGCAGGGAGCTGGATGGGAAATGGAGCAGCCGGAATACAAACTGGGATCTCATTAGTGCATCCAGGGCAAGGATTTTAGCCACTAGGCTATCAAACTAGGCACCTAGCAGTGTTTCCAAGTTAGTTTTCTTGGCTGTTTGTGATGCTTCTAACAAGTTGTTGATGTTATTTTGCTGTTTCCCCATATCACTTGTGAAACTTGCATGTAGTAGAACATGCTGGTGGGAAAGAGTGGCAGAAGCAACTCGCCTCTTCCCATCGTCTGGTGCAGGACATGGGGACTGCCTGCCAGGACATTCTGTTAACAGTACACTTGCGTTTTGCAGCACATAGTCTTCTGGTCATAAGGCCCTGAATTCATGAGCAAGAATGTGAAAAATGTTTCCTACCCTTTGATCTTTTTGTTTGATAGCTTTCCCAGAATTCATATCATGTACTTGTATTCCAGTGTTAACTTGTTTTCTCAGGGAATTTATATGATATTCTTTTATGTATTAGTAGATCACAATGTATTTATCTCTTAAATAAATCAACTTCTTTCACAGCAAATTTGTGGTTGGGAAGCTCTTTGTAATGTAACTTTTATCATACATACAGCTCAGGAGTAGGTAAGATGCTTAACACAGCTCTTACATACTTTATCTCAGAGCCTATAACCCAGTGGCATCTGTGGGCTGTGTTTGTATTTTTTCCTTTCCAGTAAAAAAAAAAAAAAGCCCCAGCAGATTTGTGTAACACACTTCATGGAATTTATATCTATTTTTCTTGGAGTGTTCCTTAAATTACACATATTTAGAAGCCTGAATTTGATATTTTAACTGCGTTCTATTAAAGTCATTGATTTTTCAGAATATATTGTTTACTGTTGGTAGCATGTTGAAATTGTTCAAGTTGTTAAAGTCCTTTTTTTGTTTGTTTTTGCTTTTTATTTACCCCTACAGGCTCTGGCCTATTTTGAGCAGTTGAAGATTTCCCCAGATGCCTGGCAAGTGTGTGCAGAAGCTCTAGCCCAGAGGACTTACAGGTAATTGAAATAAAATTTACAGGCTGTTAGAAGAATTTAAATTTCTGTGAACAGGGGAAAACTATTAGATTTACTTGTATTTAGAAACTGTTTTCATAGAAGTTTAGAAAGCTGTTTGTTCAATATAGAAATGAAGAAACTAGTGATTCAGTAACTTTGCCATTCCTGAGCAGATTTTAAAGCAACCTGTTGCCCGTGTTCTTTGGTTGTCAGAAAACTGCAGGTGGAGTAGAGTGCAATATCAACTCCTTAGGTCTGAGACCACGGTGATCACCAGTGATATGTGTCAATTCTTACTTTCAACATAAGGGGAATATTGTCTCTGTGTCACGAGCATTCCTCTATAGTGTCAGTCACACTCGGGGTCTATCTTCTACAGTTTTCAGCTGGGACACTGTAGTAGATTGAAGAACAATCAATACAAAGTCTTCCATATGTGTTTTCGATACTTATCTCTGTTGCTTGAATCTTCTGCTGCTACTGACTGTCAGCTATCCATATATATATACACTCCCTCTGTGAATTCTTTGTAAAATGTTTGATTTAGGGACCCGGCTAGGTAGCGTAATGGCTAAAGTACTCACTTTGCATGCACCGGGATCCTATATGAAGGCCAATTCATATCCCAGCTGCTCCACTTCCCATACAGCTCAAATTGTGGCTTGGTAAAGCAGTGGAAGATGGCACAAAGCCTTGAGACCCTGCATTCGCTTAGGAGAACCAGAAGCGGCTCCTGGCTCCTGGCTCCTGGCTTTGGATTGGCACAGCTCTGGCTGTTGCGGCCACTTGGGGATTGAACCAACAGATGGAAAATCTTTGTCTCTCCCTCTCTTTGTAAATCTAGCTTTCCAATAAAAATAAATAAATCTTTCAAAAAGAAAACTGATTTGGACAAAAATAGGAGCTGTCACAGTCATTTAAGTTATATTTTTTAAAAAAGATTTCATCACAGAGACAGGGAAAGAGAGCTCTTCCATCCACTGGTTTATTACCCCTAATGTGAGGTTGGTTAATTAAAACATTGGGTGGTTTATTCTTATGATATATGTCTGTTTGGAAGGCAGCACTAGAGAGATCTTGCACCTACATTGTTTGTTCATCAGATGCCTGCAGTAGTCAGGGATGAGTGATGTCAAAGTCAAAAGCCAGAACTCTTGGGTCTCTCCCACAGATGGCATGGGCCCAGGCACTTGGCAATTATCTGCTGCTTCCCAGAATTCATTAGCATGAAGCTGACGCCAAAACAGGGTAGCCAGAACTCAAACTGGCATTGCAGTAATGGGATGCAGACATCTTAGGTGGCAGTTTACCTTGCTACACTACAGCACCTGCCTCATACTTTTTGTGTTCAAAATTGTGGTCTTATGTTAAGTCTTCAGTGTCAGCCATGATAAAATAGAAATGCTTATGTCTCAGAAAGGATGCTGATTAAAACCTGAAAAAGTTTTAAAGTATCAATTCCATTCTTTCTTTGGCCAATTGCTTTTACATGAGCAAAGTTGCTTTGTGACAGTCCTGGCCCAGTCCAGATGTCTTGGATGAGCAGGTTGTTGGCCTGTGAAGGGATTTTGACAAGAGTTTGTATAGTTGGATCACTGCAACCGTGCATTGCCTCTCAGGAGACAGATGGAAGTGGGTAATTCAAAGCCTTAGGTTTTATTCCTGTTCTATATAAAGTCAGCATCCTTGCAATTTTTAGGTTTTTTTTTTTTTTTTTTTAAGATTTACTTATTTTTATTGGAAAGTCAGATATACAGAGAGGTGGAGAGACAGAGAGGAATGTCTGTGTGCTGATTCACTCCCCGTGCGGCTACCATGACCAGAGCTGAGCCGATGCAAAGCCAGGAGCTTCTTTCAGGTCTCCACATGAATGCAGGGTCCCAAGCATTGGACTGTCGTCAGGTGCTTTCCCAGGTTAAAGCAGGGAACTGGATGGGAAGCAGAGCTGATGGGACTCATATGGGATCTTGGCACATGCAAAGCGAGGACTTTAGCCACTAGGTTACTGCACTGGGCCCATAATTTAGTTTTTAAAATGAACTGAGGTCTTGCAGGTGGGAGTGACAGTCCATATAGCTCAGCTTACTTGGATGTGGCTGCTAAAGCATTTCTGTTTGGAATTTGGGAATTTTCCCAGGAACCCTAATATCTGGAGTTAGGGGCAGTGCCTTCTGCTTATAAACTTCTATATTTAAGGTACATCTAATTTGTTTATGTTTTGTTTTGTTTTTTAAATTTGGAAGGCAGATATACAGGGAGGAGGAGAGACAGAGAGAAAAATCTTCCATCCAATGATTCACTCCCCAGGCGGCCACAATGGCCAGACTGCGCTGATCCAAAGCCAGGAGCCTGGGGTCTTTTCCAGGTCTCTCACGTGGCTGCAGAGTTCCAAGGCTTTGGGCTATCCTCTACTGCTTTCCCAGGCAACATGCAGGGAGCTGGAAAGGAAGCGAGGCTGCTGGGATTAGAATCTGTGTCCATATAGGATCCCAGTGCATGCAAGGTGAGGATTTTAGCCACTGGGCTGCCATGCCAGGCCCTTGTTTTGGTTATTATACTTGCCAAATTTCATGGAAATAATAGTTTTGGAAAAATTTGTAGTTCTCAGCTTTTTAAAAAGAAATTGTATATTAAGTGAGATTACTAAGTAGCAACAAAAGAAAAGTCTAGTTTCAAAAATTTTTCCATTATATTACTCATTAACATTTTACCTTTGATGTGTTTCCCCCTACTCATATTCTGCTTATCTAATTTTCTTTTTTAGTGATGATCACATAAAGTTTTTCTGCTTTCAAGTACTAGAACATCAAGTTAAATACAAGTAAGACTTTTCTCACTGTTTTGGCTCAGGTTTGTGTGGGGGCCAGGTTTTTTAGTTTTACATTTGAAAAAATTAACACTAGAGTGTAAATTCATGTCCGACATGTCAGTTCCCCCCAGGTTACACAGTTGTGCTTTAATTTTTCCCAAAGTATTTCAAAAACAGCCAATTGATTACATATAAAAATGCTAGACATTTCACAGCAACAAAATTGTAGAACTCAAAAATTTTTTTTAATTTTGGAAAAAAATCAAAATGCAGCAACAATGCTGGGCCTAATTCTCTGCATTAACAGCCTCACAGAGCTAAGTGCAGCCTAGGCTTTTGTTTCTGACCCCTGTCTTAACAAAGTTTCTTCTTTGAGTTCCTGCTGTGAAGGCCTTTGGCTGTTCCTTTCTCTGTAGTGCACAGAACTCAGCTCAGGGATCTGTTCCTGTTGGAAACATTACTTCTCTGATGTCTCAAGTGAACCAATCCACAAAACAAAGGAAGGTCCAGGCTGGTACCTATCCTGCCACCCAGTCCCTGCCCCTTACAGCTGTGAAGACTGGTTCTGGCAGTTTACGAAACTGTAGAAAATTGAATGCTAGATAAATATTCTCTTCCACATCTGTAAAAAGCTGTTCATTTACAAAGCCACAAACACCATTATTATTTTTCTTCTCTACTTCGAACAGATATTCAGAATTAACCACTGTTCAACAACAACTAATTAGGGAGACGCTCGTGTCTTGGCTGCAAGCTCAGGTAAGATAGTAATCTTAGTACGTCAAAATACCAGAACCTTAAATTTCTGTGTTTGCGAGAGTTTATAGCTTTGCCTCAGAGATTTTTGTCTTTTTTCCCAAGTACTAATTTTGTAGATGGAAACTTAGCACTGATGCAAAATCATGTCAGTAATCAAAGCTGTCATACTTCCTGTGCCCATGACACATTGTGGAAACTTTGTGTATAGAATGTAGTTTTCTCACTTGTTGCAAACTGCTTCTCCACTTATCTCACTAGGGTAAGCCCTCCTAGACTGCCTCACAGGGACATTTCCTAAAGTCAGGAGAATGCTTTATTCACAGCACTGTTTTGGGGCAAATTCTAATAGCAACCTATAAAAACAGTTAGCTTGCTGTAAATGTTGTTTTCCTAAAAGATCAAGCAGACTTTTTTTTTTTTTGTAGAAGAAAATATAAAAGCTATTAAAATGGCGTCCAAGTTTAAAAATGAAGAGTAACCATCACAACCTTGGCTTCTTTGATTGTTTCTAGCCTGTCACTTAAGTACTTTGATAACTTTGAAACAATCCTGCTGTGCAGTAATCTGGACCACACTGAAGTTGCTTGGCATTTTGTCCTACTAATGATAAACAGGAAAACAGAATGCGTTTTGAATCTTTGCAATTTACCTTTAATTTCATAGAACTTTTCTCTGTTTGTCAGATGCTGAATCCCCAACCAGAGAAGACGTTTATACGAAATAAAGCAGCCCAAGTCTTCGCCTTGCTTTTTGTTACAGAATATCTCACTAAATGGCCCAAGTTTTTTTTCGACATTCTCTCAGTTGTGGACCTCAATCCAAGGGGAGTGGATCTGTACCTCCGAATCCTCATGGCTATAGACTCCGAGTTGGTGGATCGTGATGTGGTTCACACATCTGAGGCAAGTGGTGTCCCGTTAATTTTCAGTTTTTAAGCACAGATTTTATATAAAATAATGACATAACAATAAAAGGAACAGGAGCAGGGAGCCTTTTTTTTTTTTTTAAGAATAATTATGGGGCAGGCATTGTGGCATAAAGCAAAACTGTCTGCTCTAGCGGCTGCATTCTTTATGGGCTCAGGTTCAAATCCCAGCTGCTTGTTTCCCATCCAGCTCCGTGGGATATGCCTGGGAAAGCCGCAGAAAAATGGCTCATATCCTTGGGCTTCTGCATGAACTTGGGAAACAAGGAGGAAGCTCCTGGCCTCTGTATGTTGCAGCTCTTTGGGAATGAGGCAGTGAATGGAAAATCTCTCTCTGTGTCTTTTTCTGTTACACTGGCTTCCAAATAAAGAAATCTTAAACTAATAATAAGAGTGATTTATTAGAAGATATAATAATTTATTAGAAGATATAATAAGAGTGATTTAATAAAAAGAGTTTTTATTTTATAAAGGAACTTGGATTTTATTTTATTAGTCTATGTAAATATTTTTCCATTAAAGTATGCAAATTAATGTTCTATGAACTTGTTGAGAAACGTGGTCTCTAATATTCCTACACACAAAATTTTCAAAAAGCTCATAGAAAATTGCCATTATGAAAACACTGCAAGGATTTCAGCATTTTGCCTTCAAATATAAGCATCCGTTTTTCACATACCTTCATGTTTTTTTGACATATCCTCATATGTTAGTTGTTTCTGAATTCTCTGTCATGTAGTTGATGGCTTTAGGCATTTGGTTTCCTCATTAATGTGTGTATATTTCTCCTTATCCTTTGAGGGCACATTAGGAAAGGTGTCAGGTGTGTATAGTAACTTCAGGTTATTACAATAAAACTATAATATTCAATATTCTTATACATAAAAACTTAAAGGCACTATGCATTTAAGTTATTGCCATTTTCTAAATTGTTAGGTACCATGTTTTTATAATACTGAGAAGTAACAGCACATACTCAAGATTTCTGCTTGTTTATTCTTTGTATTTAGTAAGAAATTAAGTCCAACATTTTGGAAGAAACCAAAAGAGGAAGCATGAAGAATCACAGGATGTGATTTTAAAGTGATAAATAGGATACAATGACAAAGAATGTGTTAACAAGTCTGTAAGTTTAATGTCAAGGAAACTGTGTGCGACTGTATTCAGATAACAAACTTTTTTGCTTTTTTTAGGAGGCTCGTAGGAATACTCTAATAAAAGATACCATGAGGGAACAGTGCATTCCAAACCTAGTGGAATCATGGTACCAAATCTTACAAAATTATCAGTATACTAATTCAGAAGTGACATGTCAGTGCCTTGAAGTAGTTGGGGCTTACGTCTCTTGGATAGACTTATCCCTTATAGCCAATGATAGGTAAGTATGTCTATAATGTTTTATTTGTAAACCTCTAAAGGACAGTATCTGAAATTCATGGATATGCAAATGTTGTAACAGTTGCATTTGCTCATTACCAGGTTTATAAATATGCTGCTAGGACATATGTCAATAGAAGTTCTACGGGAAGAAGCATGTGACTGTTTATATGAAATTGTAAATAAAGGAATGGACCCTGTTGATAAAATGAAACTAGTAGAATCTTTGTGTCAAGTATTACAGTCTGCTGGGTTTTTCAGCATTGACCAGGTCAGTAAATTATTATATATAGAGCTTAAAAAGTTGTTAGGAAGCACTAGGTTTGTTAGACTTAGTGGCTTTTTATTTTTCCTTTTAGGATGAAAGCTCTCTTTGAAATTCTGTTAATCAACCAGTTTCCAGAAAAGCATGATATTATCTGTAGCATTTGCCTTAGACTATGACAGTTTTTTTATTATTGTTGTTATTTTTAGTATTGTTTACATAGTTGAGAGGGATGCACACCCATTTGGATCTCCCATTAGGGTAGAAAGGGTCAGATGTGGAGGAAAGTGGATGGGATAAATGTTTCAATTTATGTTTTCTTATGTGTCCATAGTTGGGAAAGAGAGACACTGCTTGTTATGAAACTATGTCAGCGCCAGGGGCTGGGGGACTGCCTTTTGATGATGCCTTAGAGACCCTCAGTGTGGGACAGTGTTCTGAGGGTGTTACTTGAGTGGTTTTGATGATTCTTAGACATTTTTGGCGTTGTTGCACCAGGGTTGAGATCTTTCCAAGGCCTATTGGCTGACCATCCACAGGCCCAGGAACTTGTTGATAGGCTTGGCCAGAAGAATGGCCCAACCTATTCTGCTTTCTCTCCTCTGATGGGGTATATCCTCTCTTCTATGCCAGTTCTTAAATTGAAAGTTTGGAATAGGGCTTGGTATTGTGGCTCAGTTAATCCTCCCCTTGCAAACACTAGGAATCCTTATGGGCACTGGTTTGTGTCCCTGATGCTCCACTTCCTCTTTGTGGCCTGAGAAAGCAAACAAGGATGGCCCAAAGTCTTAGGATACTGCATTCCATGTGGGAGACCCAAAAGAGGCTCCTGGCTCCTGGCTTCTGATCAGCTTAGCTCTGGCCATTGTGGCTATTGGGGAATGATCCTACAGAAGGAAAATCTGTCTCTGTATCTCCTCAGTACATCGCCTTTCCAATAAAAATAAATAAAATCTTAAAAAAGAAAAAAACCTTGAAATGTTGCCCATAATTGTACATTTTCTACAAATTTCTGGTTGACGTTGACAGTATTGTCCCATGACAATAAATTGAGTAGCAAGAGACTGCCATTTATATGACAATGCATTTTGACCAAAATTAGACTTGATGAAATTAATGTTGCATTTTTGTCTTTGTTTTAAATGTCAGTTTGTTTGGACTACTGGAGATTAGCTCCAACAGAGTAAATCCTTTAACTGTGATCAAGATAGTGTGTTTTTATGTTGCTGTTTACTTAGTCCAAAATTAGGGTACGTGCATGTGGCATTTAGATCACCCAGATTCCGACCTGGAGTGCCTGGGGTTGAGTCCCAGCTTCCTGGTAGTAGACATCCTGAACAGAGCAGAACTGGTCATTGGGTCCTGGGAGACCTGGATTGAGTTCCTGGCTCCTGGCTCTGTCCTTGGGAGGCATTTGTGAGCGAACCAGAAGGTGGGAACTCTGCCTCTTAAAAAATATTTTTTTCTAAATTAATTTTTAAAAACTGCTAATGGATAATTATGGTAGCTGAAAAAGTAAAACTCTCCTGTGTTCAGCCTTTCCAGCTCCAGCTATTACAGGTATTTGTAAAGTAACCCAGCCGGATGAAAGATCTGATTTTCAAATAAAAAAAATATTAATAATAAAAACAAAAAACTTTCCCAGCTAAAATTTATTGACTGGAATTCATACTAAAGTTTAGAGATTTCCCTCAACATTGCAGTAAGTGGTTTTAATTTGACATCTGTCTTGATTGCTTACAGGAAGAAGATGTTGACTTCCTGGCCAGGTTTTCTAAGCTGGTAAATGGAATGGGACAGTCATTGATAGTTAGCTGGACTAAATTAATTAAGAGTGGGGATATCAAGAATGCTCAGGAGGCACTACAAGCTATTGAAACAAAAGTGGCGCTAATGTTACAACTTCTGATTCATGAAGATGACGACATCTCCTCTAACATTATTGGGTTTTGTTACGATTATCTTCATATTTTGAAACAGGTAAATCTCTTCTTCTTGTCTAGTATATAACATAAAGGAGTCATACAGAATTGGAAATGTAAGGAAAGTGAAAATAAAGGAATGCCCATATTTGTATTGACTAAAGATATTTTTAGTTGTTGAATATTAATGTAATCCCCTCTGTCTTGCTAATAAAGTTGTTAGCCAGAAAATGGGAGTGGCTAAGTTTGGAAATTTGCTAAAGTAGCAAAATTATTAATTTTTTATTTTCCAACCTTCAGTTATTATCCTAGTTTATGCACTTGAGTTATTTTTTCATTTTGAACCTATATTCAAAAGACAGAAGTTTTTTAATTATGATTTTAATTTCATGTGTGTGACTTTATAAATAATACCTAACAGCTATAGGAATTCATTTTCCAAAAATAACTTGAAATGTAGATAACAGTTGATGAGAGAGCCATTTCCACTTTGTGTGGGTTGGAATAATTAAATCAAGTTAATAGTGAATTTTCCTAAATGAAGTCCTGTGTTATTGTTTTAAACAGTATGTACCTGCAGGGTTACTTACAAACTTTTAGCCAATATAGAAAGGTGCTATCACTATTGTTAATTCCACCATGTGTGTCTCTTTCTTCTTTTTTTCTTTTAATATTCTTTATATAATTGAGAGGTATGGATGCCGCTGTGGGTCCCCAGTTAGGGTGTGGAGGGTCAGGTATGGAGAAAGGTGAATGGGACAAATGTTTCAGGTTTTCTTCTTGCCTCCTGTGTGTCCAGAGGAGGAAGGCAGGGCAGGGAGGAGGAGTGCCTCTTGCTGTCTAACTACATCAGCACTTGGGGAGAGGGGACTGTCAGCTGATGACACCTTGCACTATTTGTCTCTTAATGGGTTTCTGTGTAGACTTTAAAAGCCTCTCGTTTAAGAACAAGATGAGCTCATCCTTAGTTACAGGTGAAATTCCTAGCTCTTTAAGTACATTTTCAAAAAGAGACAGGCGCTACCAATGCCACGTGGTTATATTTCAGATGATATTTCAATTGATGAGAGAAATATTCTGAAAAAACAAGTATAACTTGGGGAAATTTAACGCATTATTGCTTGCTTTTACACAGCTTGCAGTGCTCTCAGATCAGCAAAAAGCAAATGTAGAGGTAAGGATCATCTTTATGCTTCTTTCAAACCAATGTAGGATTATTGATACAGAATCTCTTGAAATGTAGCTTAATATAAAATTAAAGGAAATTGGTTGACAAGAGTTATTTTATTTTTACTCTTAGGCAATCATGTTGGCCGTTGTGAAAAAATTGACTTATGATGAAGAGTATAACTTTGAAAATGAGGTAATAAGAATTTTTGTTTTGAGGAGAAATCAGTTTCCAAGTTTTTATTGTAAGGGGCTCTTGGAAACAAGAATTAGAATTTAAAAAGTTTCTTCTCTGTTAACATGAACCTTGGGTAAAATTAATGAAAGTCCATTATTCTTCATTTTTGCTTTTTGTCCATTAACAGTCTTTTTCAAAATACTGTGGTGTGAGGGCGTGGCACGGTGGCGGTGGCCTAGCAGTTAGTCTTCACCTTGCAAGTGCTGGGTTCCCATATGGGCACCAGTTCAAGTCCCAATGGCCCTGCTTCCCATCTAGCTCCCTGCTTGTGGCTTGGGAAAGTAGTTGAGGACAACCCAAAGCCCTGGGACCCTGCACCTGCGTGGGAAACCTGAAAGAGGCTCCTGGCTTCAGAATGGCTCAGCTTCTGCGCTTGCGAACACGTGGGGGAGTGAATCATGGAAGATCTTTCTGTCTCTCCTCTCTGTATATCTGACTTTCTAATAAAAAACAATACTATAGTGTGGCAGTTAGTAAAAAGGATGAGTTGAGGTCTGAACAGTGGAGCTCCAGTCTTAAGTCAGGGGGAGAATGAGAATGAGGCATCTAACAAATGTCTAGATACATTCTGGTTAAAGAAGTTGTCTATGGTTTTCAGTGGGTTTTCTGCCACCAAGAACAGGCGCTTACGAGGGACTCCATTATGGCATGTACTGTTTAATTGTGTGCACAGCTGTTTTGCTCCCCAGTTTAGAAAATTTTCAGCTATAAAGGAATAGTAGTGGTATCTGCCATTGTACAGTATTGCCACTGTTAATAGTGAATGCTGGGAGGGATGCCATGCTTGACTGAAGCCCTCAGCCCTGTGTGAGCCCATTCCTGCTCTGCTATCCTCGTTGAACTTCTCACCCAGTTTCTGGCTCTGTGCATTAGAACTAGTGTATTATTCAAGAGTATTTATTGTGAGCAGGAAAGGAAAATTATCATAATAAATTTTCAATATAAATAATATTGATGAAAAAAGTGTGAAAGTTAGAAATGGAGGAAACTACAGCAGTTAAACATATATGTGAATTCTAAGATTTTTAAGGTTTTTAAAGGATTTGTAACCCACATTGCAGGGTGAAGATGAAGCCATGTTTGTAGAATATAGGAAACAACTGAAGTTACTGTTGGACAGGCTTGCTCAAGTCTCACCAGAGTTACTGCTGGCTTCTGTTCGCAGAGTTTTTAGTTCTACACTGCAGTAAGTTTCTTCATATTTTTATAATTACCCACCTTTGCTGCCTGCTGATCTTCTGAAATTAGTAATTCCTGTAGTTGTCGTGTCTATGTTACTATTTAAGGTCTCATGTGTTAGGTAGGTATGTAGCATAGTTAAGCTACTACTCCTGATGTCCACTTTCCATTTATCGAGCTGGGTTCAAGCCCCACCTCTGCTCTCCATCCCAGCTTCCTGTCAGTGTGGACTGTGGCAGACAGCAGATAGTGGCTCAATGGGAGACCTGGATTGAGTTCCTGGCTCTTTGACTTGGGCCTCATTCAGCATGTGGGGAATGAGCCATGGGCTGAGAGCTCTGTGTCTGCTTTCTGTCTTCATCTTTGCCTTTCAAATAAAGAAACACTTTTTAAAAATGTCTAAAGACTGTGCCTGTGGTTTATCTAGATCCTTTCTGCTTTTGTGATAAGAAATGTGTAGCCTGGGATAGTCAACAATTACTCTGACTTTTGTGGGTATCTTGTTGTCCTGTGCATCACAAGTCGTATAAAAGCTTATGTTCACATCTCATTGTCATATTGTGCCTTGGTAGGAACTGGCAGACCACACGGTTTATGGAAGTTGAAGTAGCAATAAGATTGCTGTATATGTTGGCAGAAGCTCTCCCAGTATCTCATGGTGCTCACTTCTCAGGTGATGTTTCAAAAGCTAGTGCTTTGCAGGATATGATGCGAACTGTAAGTATACTGAGGATAATTTATTTTAAATACAATTTTCTGTTTTCATTTTAAGCTGATAGGAGTTATTTAATTGTTAAGAGCTTTGCATATGTTAATGAGTGCATTTTGATACTGCATTCAGTAAGAATGGATTTTTCTTTTTACTTTTTTTCTGCTCCAGTTGGTGACATCAGGAGTCAGTTCCTATCAGCACACATCTGTGACATTGGAATTCTTCGAAACTGTTGTTAGATATGAAAAGTTTTTCACAGTTGAACCTCAACACATTCCATGTGTACTAGTAAGTATGTATCTTAACTGGATTTGTATTGTTTAGGAACCACTCCTCTGTTTCTTTTGAATGAACAGTCAGTCTTTTTCAGCAAAGTCCTCAAGGGTCCATTTGTATTGGGCCCTAGAATTGTTTGGATAGTTTTGCTTCCTGCCTTCAAGGAGCCTGAAAAATAAAATTTTAAGTGAAGAATATGTAGCATGACAGTCAACAGAAACTTTAAGGAAGTACAGAAATGCCCAAAAGTATCTGGTGGGTTTTTCTTTTTCAGATGGCTTTCTTAGATCACCGAGGTCTGCGGCATTCTAGTGCAAAAGTACGAAGCAGAACTGCTTACCTGTTTTCCAGATTCGTCAAATCTCTCAAGTGAGTAGATAATTTTAGTTATAATGTTGCATTTCAAAAGGAATAGAATGTATTTCCCCAGAGCCTGTGATAGATTGGGTTTTTTCCTCTTCCAAGGCCTGTTGTGTATCAAGTGTCCCTGTTTAAATTAGGACTTGCCCTGCTCATCAGGCAGGTACTGTAGTCAGGGCTGATAAAAGGCTCGCACACTTTCCCTTGGTAACACCTCTCACCAGTAGTGACTTTGGTCAATTACCAGTAATTTTATTGCCTGGGTCACATATATGAGAACTCTTCAAAAATATTGTATACCAAAATAACAACATTTGTTTTAAAAGATTGATTTGTATTGGGAAGCCAGATATAGAGAGAGGAGGAGACAGAGAGGAAGATCTTCTGTCCAATGATTCACTCCCCAAGCAGCCCAAGCAGCCGCAACAGCCAGAGCTGCACTGATCTAAAGTCAGGAGCTTTGAAGTATCCCTATGGCTTCCATGAAATTCGAAAGACTCTTTTCCTTAAAAATACATGATGTGTTTTGTCTTTTTTTTTTTTCTTTTTAAGACTTATTTATTTATTTTGGAAATACAGATTTACAGAGAAGGAGAGTCAGATTGCTGATTTACTCCCCAAATGGCTGGTACAGCCAGAGCTTAGCTTACCTGAAGCCAGGAACCAGGGGATTGTTCCAGCTCTCCCACATGAGTACAAGGTCCCAAGGCTGTAGGCTATCCTGTGCTGTTTTCACAGGCCCTACCAGGGAACTGGATGTGATGTGCAGCAACTGGGACATAGACTAGCACCCATATGGCATCCTGGTTCTTGTGGATGGAACATTAGCCTGTTGAGCTATAGCACTGTCCCCCTGTGTTTTGTCATCTTAAGAGTTCCGGGGTTTTTTGTTATGAAACCTGCTTAGTGCTTAAATTGTAGGATTTTTTTGTTAAGGTTTATTTATTTACTTGATGGAATTAGAGAAGGATACATGGGTTTTCTGTTTGCTGATTCACTACCCAAAAGGCTACAACAGCTGGAGCTGGGCCACTCTGAAGCCAGAAGCCAGGCCTCATCCAGGTCTCCCATGTGGGTTCAGAGGTCCCAAGCACTTGGGTCATCCTCCTTTGCTTTCCTAGGTACATTATTAGGGAGCTACATCAGAAGTGGAACAGCCAGGCCCTACATTAATGTCTAAAATTGTATGTGTCGGCTTTGTCCACTATGCCACAGCACTGGCCCTGTAAGATTCCTACACTCTCCTCCCCCTCCCCCCCATAAGATTTATTTGTTTATTGAAAGTCAGATTTACAGAGAGAAAGAGAAAAATATCTTCCATCTACTGGCTCACCCCCCAAGTGGCCACTGGAGCTGAGCTGATTTGAAACAAGGAGCTAGGAGCTTTTTCCGGGCTTCCCATGTGGGTGCAGGGTCCTAAGGCTTTGGGCCATCCTCCTCTGCATTTCCAGGCCACAAGCAGGGAGCTGGATGGGAAGTGTGGAGCAGCCGGGATATGAACCACTGCCCACATGGGATCCTGACATATACAAGGCAGGACTTTAGCCACTAGGCTACAGTGCCAGCCCCCCCTGGAAGATTCTTAAATGATCTTGGCAGTCTCTCACTGTGGGGCATACAGATAGTCTGTAAAAACTGGTCGTCTCAATGAGAAGTGACTAGGCTACCACTGAACATGTTTTTTAAATGACTTAAAAGGGTTTGGTGCTCTAGCAATTTCTGAATGCTGTTACTTTTTACCTTTTTTTTTTTTTTTTTTAGTAAACAGATGAATCCTTTCATTGAGGATATTTTGAATAGAATACAGGATTTGCTAGAACTTTCTCCACCTGTAAGTATCCTTCATTCCATAGTTTTCTCCTAGATTTCATAGAGTCAACAATATTGCGTTAGATTTTACCTATATGGACAACTTTGAAAACTATAGCAAAAGCAAAAAAGTGAAAGAAGAAATGGTGCTCAGCAGAGGTGTGTTTGCAGGTTCTGTTCAAAATTCTATTGATATCAGAACAGAAACAGTTACAGAGGAGAATCAAGTTGTCTGATTCATTTGGCAGCATGGATTATAGTCTGCTGTCTGTACATCAGATGTTGATGCAGTATTTATGAAGAATAAAGAATGCAGTTTTTGAATTATTATTAGTACTATAGTTGTATAATCATTCTTGGCAACTGCTATTGTTAAACTGGTTATTCTGTGTAACCCTAGGCCAAAGGTGAAGAAACAAAACTGCTGATTTGAGTATCTTGCACATTTCACTAAGAAGATTTAAGTTATAAGTACCTATTTATATATGCACATGTTCTGTTTAAAGCTATATACACTTAATTGGAGAAAGTTATTACTACAGGGTACAGTTTAAAGTGCTAAGCATAAAGTAACAATTTGTTGTTTTAAAAGAGTGGTGAGCATTGGGTTGCAAAGATTGCTTTATTTCACTGCATGAAAGGTTCACTAGTGAATGACATGGCTAACGGATCCTTGCCTACATACTGTAGCGCCTCACTCACCCAGGAACTCCAGTTTTCCGTGGCAGTTCACACTGACCTCTGAGAATGGCTTCCAAGAAGGCTTGCTGGCAGAAATGTTTTGTTTTTCACACAGTGCATAAAGATAAGGACTTATCCTTGTAATCGTTTTTCAGCACACTGAAAATTTGCTTCTGATTGCTTTCTTGAATGCTTACTGTGTATTAAGGTTATGACTACACTTTTGTTTTTACATATTTATTTGAAAAGAGAGAAAGACAGACAGCTTTTTGCTAGTTTACTCCCCAAATGACTGCAAGAGCTAGGGCTGGGCCAAAGTCAGGATCCCAGAACCCCTTCAGGCATGTCTCCCTTGTGGATGGCATAGGTCCAAGCACGTGAGCCATCTTCCCTGCTTTCCCAAGCCCATTAGCAGGGTCACAAATCAGTGCCCATATCTGTTGCCTGCAGTGCAAGCGGCTGCTTAACCCGCAGCACCATGACACAGCCATCGTGACTACACATTTTTATAGTATCCTATAATTAGACAATTTTTCTGTATTCTCAGCTCATACAGCGTGATAAGTCCTGGCAGCTACTCAAAAATGTTCTAGTTATTTTTAAACGGGGATATTACTTTTTGTGGTATGTGAACTTTTTTATAATAAAACTACCACATAATATAACTTGTTTTTAAAAGGGATATTTACTTATCTGAAAGGCAGTTACACTGGAGGAGATTCTTCTACCTGCTGGTTCACTCCCCAAATGACATTGGCCGGGCTCTAGGCTGGAGCTCAGGAGCTCCTCCTAGGTGTCCCACATGGTTACAGGGCTCCAAGGACTTAGCCCATCGTGATTGTCCAGGCACATTAACAAGGAGCTGGACTGAAAGGGGCAGACAGCACTCAAAACCTCCATCCATATGGGATGCCAGTGACCCAGGCCAAGGCTTATTGTGTTAAGCCACAACACTATTATATACAATGTACCTGATTTAAGGCCAGATATTTATTCATAATTTCTTCACAGCCATTTTTGGTGTTGAAACTTAATGCTTTGTTCTCTTGGCATAAATGCCAAAATGTAATAACACCTGCCAATGAAAATTGACCTATATAAAGAATATTTGCTTTTGTGAATAATTTTGCCTACAATCTTAGAACAGTTTTGAAAATACTAATGATGCAGCCTTTGTACTAATGAAGTACTTTCTGTACCCCCTCATGTCTAGCCTCAATAGGTCTGGAGATTTATTTTGATTTTAAAGACATAATTGAGGAGCGAGAGGAAGGGAGGGACAGATGGAATCCTCCCTCTGGATCATACCCAAAGAGGCCACAATGGCTGGGGATGGGCTGATTGAAGCCAGTAGCCTGGAGCCTCTTCTGGGTCTCCTGTGTATGCAGGGTCCCAAGGTCTTGGGCCATCCTCCTGTGCTTCCCAGGCACACTACCAAGGAGCTGGATCGGAAGTGGAACAGCCAGGACTTGAACTGACACTCATGGGATGCTGGCATCACAGATGAAGGCTTAGCCTACTATGCCATGGCACCAGCCCCACAAATAAGATTTTTACAAAAGGAAGCAAGTTAGCAAGTGTTTACCTTACGTGATTGCAAAATTGCTGCATTAGAATTAGAATGATGACCTTTTGACCTTTAATTCCATTTCCTTTTCATTGTATGGTTGTAGGAGAAATTTGTTTTTATGAGTACTTAATGAATGAGTTGATGCACTAGATTACAATAACCTTCCTCAGAGAGAGCAAATCAAAAATCAGAATCTTGAGTAAGACTGCATTTTGTTCCAGGAAAATGGCTACCAGTCCTTGTTGAGCAGTGATGATCAGCTGTTTATTTATGAGACAGCTGGAGTGCTGATTGTGAATAGTGAATACGTAGCAGAAAGGAAGCAAGCACTGATGAGGAACCTGCTGACTCCACTGATGGAGAAGTTTAAAATTCTGTTAGAAAAACTTATGCTGTCACAGGATGAAGAAAGACAGGCATGTCTAGCAGATTGTCTCAACCATGCTGTTGGATTTGCCAGGTGAGTGTTATTGCACTTGGTGGTCTAAACTTTGTAACTTTTCCCTGGCAGAGCCAGCCATTAGAATCTAAAAGATGAGCATGCGTGTCTGTTTTCAGAAGCTGTACTGTTCAGAAAGTTGTCTAAATCTTTCTCTTTTAAATCCGGTGTTTTAAAGATTGAGATGAAGGAAGTAGATTGCATGCCAGTCTGTGATTGCATATTTAGGGAGATTAACTGAAATGTTTATATATATCTTAAAGAGTAGTGATTTCTTTTGCCATTCACTGCTTGGGTACTTTTATTATTGTTGCTTTGTGTTCTGAAGGCCACTGAAGCACCCCTTTTTTCTCTCACTGTATTTTTCTTGGCAGTGACAGCATAAAAGTTGTAGTGATTGCCAATTAGAAGTTACATAGAAAGCTTGTGCTTCAGAGTCCTTCATAGGTATTGATGAAAATGTACAATTAACTGGATCCTAAAAATTTGTTTTCTAAATTTAAATGGGTAGATTGCTGCTTTAGTAAAGCTTAGTGGATTTTTCTTTTTCTCTTTTTACAAATCTCAATGAGAGCAGTAAAATATTTACATATACTTGTGTTAGAGATTTGTCAACTGCATCTCTTTAACTATAGCCCTTTGTTATAGAACAATGACTAGAGGCAGTTACCAATAATCATGTTAGCTGAAAGTGAAAGTAAGTGCAACATGGAAAATAAAAAGTTGGTTTCTTAGTTGATTTTATAAGGTGTTCATTATTTCTGAGCATTTGAAAAATGAAGTTGAAGTTAGTGTCCGATTTTTGGTTATAGCCGGACCAGCAAAGCTTTCAGCAACAAGCAGACTGTGAAACAATGTGGCTGTTCCGAAGTTTATCTGGACTGTTTACAAACCTTCTTGCCAGCCCTCAGCTGTCCCTTACAAAAGGACATTCTTAGAAGTGGAGTTCGCACTTTCCTTCATCGAATGATAATTTGCCTGGAGGAAGAAGTTCTTCCGTTCATCCCATCTGCCTCAGAGCATATGCTCAAAGACTGTGAAGCGAAAGACTTGCAGGAGTTCATTCCTCTCATCAACCAGATTACAGCCAAATTTAAGGTACCATGGATCTTCAGAGCCCTCAGTCTCCTGCTTAAAGACCATCTACATTGAAAACATGGTGTGGGCTTTGTCTTTGGTGTTTAAAAGAAACATGAATTTTTGATGTCATGGGTCATCTGTGTTTTTATTGCTCTCTCTGTCTGGCACATTACCTGACACAAAGTCATGCCCACTGGGTGTTTTCATAAAATAGGCCTGATCTGCTTGGCGTAGCCAAAAATGACCAGTCTGCAGTTTTAGGGAAGTAGATACAAACAGTATTTGGGTGCCCAGGCAGTTTAAAATATTTTATATATGCATGTAAGATTTATGCCAAGTATAAGCTGGGTAGTAAAAATGGCAAACACATATGTTGTGCTTTCTGTGTTCAGGATCTAAACATTTTTGGTGCTTACTTATCTTTACAATAGATTAGGAAACAGGTGCATAAGAAGGAAGGTGCCCAAGGGCACAGAAAACCTAAGAGTCAAAGTAAGAATTTCAGTGTGAAAATATTTTGGGGCAATGTTTGGCGAAATGTACTTGGCCACCTGTTGCCTGAATATATAGGCCATGAGTTGACTAATGGTTTTGAGACGTTTAGTGATTTATACATGTCATTCAGATTTTGTCTAAACCTGGGTATCTGCTGGCTAAATTAGGAAAGTGTTCCAAATAAACACTAAAGAAAGACTACACGTAAAATTTCTTGTCAGAGTTTCCCAGTGATGTTCTTGCTCGTTACCGACATAGTAATGCTTGCTTCTTTTCTGCAGGCACAGGTGTCCCCCTTTCTGCAGCAGATGTTCATGCCCCTGCTCCATGCAATTTTTGAAGTGCTGCTCCGACCAGCAGAAGAAAACGACCAGTCTGCTGCCTTGGAGAAGCAGATGCTGCGGAGGAGTTACTTTGCTTTCCTGCAGACAGTCACAGGCAGTGGAATGAGTGAAGTGATAGCGAACCAAGGTGGGGACACATGTGTACCAGGGTTGCCTGCGTAAGTCCCTGTCTCAAATGAACAAGAGTGAACTGAGTGAACAGAAACTTGGTGGGTAGGGAGGCACGGTGGCTTGATGACCAAATCCTTACCTTGCATGCCCCACGATCCCAAATGGGTCCCAGTTTGTGTCCAGGGTGCGCCACTTCCCATCCAACTCCCTGTGTATGGCTTGGAAAAGCATCAGAGAATGGCCCAAATTCTTGACCCTGCCACCTGCATGGAAGACCTGAGAGAAGCTCCTGGCTCCTGGTTTTGGATTGGCTCAGCTCTGGCTGTTGTAGCCACTTGGGAAGTGAACCAGCAGGCGGAGAATCTTTCTGCCTCTCCTCTCTAAATCTGCCTTTCCAATTAAAAAAGCATATATATCTATATGTTATATATAAATGTGATATATATATATTACATATCATATATATCACATGATTATCTATTATACATTATGTTATAATTATATAATGTTTATATATTGTATGATTCATATATTATTATATATGTATATTTTAAGGAACCTTGGGGAATACATTGTTAGGCTGACTTGGTAATAGCTCATTACTTCGAGGTGGGAATCACTTTCATGTAAAATACCTTAAAATTAGTTAGGATTTAGTTACTTTTGTTGATTTCTAGTATTTTAAAAACCTACAATTGAGCTTAATGGCTAGTTTGCCATTTTGAAATTCAAAGTGGGACTGTGGGACTATATAAATTAACATACAAAATTCTGTATAAGATATCCAGTGGGTAAGATATCAAGGAAAAGCTGGTTTTTCACTGTTTGCTTGAAATCGTAGATGTGGCTAAGAAAAATGGAGAGGTTCCTTTTCACATCTGTAAATGCTTTTTTGACTTGTTTCTGTGCGTAAGAACTTTTTTTTATGCTATTCTGGTTCTGTTAGAAAGTAGACACAAGATTTTCTCTTCAGGTGCAGAACATGTGGAACGAGTGCTAGTAACTGTGATCCAAGGAGCAGTTGACTATCCAGATCCAATTGCCCAGAAAACGTGTTTTATCATCCTTTCAAAGTTGGTGGAACTTTGGGGTAAGATCATTGTGTTTAACGTATTCTTCAACCTGTTCTTAAAAGAGTTGTAGAGAGGAAGGGGACCCTACCTTTACATATAACCAGACAGGAATTGGAAATTGATTTTTTTTTTCCCCTAAGGATGAATTAATTGACTTTATTTAAGATGAAAATTTGAATTTTCTTGACAGGTGGTAAAGATGGACCAGTGGGATTTGCTGATTTTGTTTACAAGCACATAGTCCCTGCGTGTTTCCTAGCACCTTTGAAACAAACCTTTGACCTGGCAGATGCACAGACAGTGTTGGTAAGCACCTAGGAATGTGTTTACCTTGTGTACATCTCATACTCACTGCCTCTTCTTTAATGCCATGCTAGTTTCAGGTTTTGTGGTTTTGTTGTTGTTTTTAATTTAGTGATTTCAAATGAGGAATAATTTTTTTAAAGGTTAGTGAAACCTTGAGACCTTTTGTGGGCTTGTAATAAATTCTAATAATAAATTGAATGTGTAAACAACCAAGGCTTTTTCTAGGGCCATGAATGGGTACATGGTACAAACGGTGTTAAAGTTTCAAACTCTGCTCAGTCGTTTCACCTCATCCTTAAGAACATGAAATGGCAGCTTTGTCCTCTTCATACAGTCCTTTCCCCAGGCTCATCTTCCCGATGTTTTATCCTCTGTACACTTTGCCATAACACACTAAAGGCCAGGCTTTGTAATTGTGTCTTGTTACTTGAAGGTGATGCTTTCTATTTTTCTTTGTCTATTTAGCCTGCTACTTCCACTCTCCTGTCCCCTTTCCTCTCTGTCCCTTCTTTGGAGGTAAATTTTGGTGGGTAACCACAAACTGGCCATACTAACATTTGAACACTTGTTTTTCTGCAGGCCTTATCTGAGTGTGCGGTGACACTGAAAACTATTCATCTCAAGCGGGTAAGCCTGGTGCTTCTCTCCCTTCTGTGTCATATCACACAGAAGCTTTCATTATGTTCCATTCATCTCATCCTAAGTTGTACCTTTACTCAAGGCATTTGTTTTTGGAAGTGAGATCTGGGTCAAATGACAACAGTGGTATTCTGTTGCCCTTTCTGTCTTGAGCAACAAGGTTTTAAAGACATGTTTGTTTGACAGAGGATGTGAAAAACCTTAAAAATTATAAGATGCAGATTTTTCACTCTAGCAAGCTTCCTCCCAGTCCCACTCCTCCTGCATCTAAGTGTGGGAAACGTGTGAGGCCCCTCACTGCCTTTCAGTGTCCTTGTCAGTCTCACCACATAAGTTAGTCATAAGTGAAATGGGTATTTTTGCATAACTTAAAATGGATGCCAGCTATTTTTTAAAATGTTGATGAACAACACTTCTTATCTCTCCCTCCTCTCAAAGCTACAGTCCCAACCCAATACCCGCATTTCCACATAGCTGCAGTTCCTCCAGGCCTAAGAAGGAGCATGTCATGGCTCTTGTCTTCCCTCAGCTCACTCACTCATCTGAACTTGAGCTTTTGGTTCGGACAGATTTGAGGGTTTTCCTCTCAGCAGTGTTTTCTCTACACCTGCTGCTTGTTAGGATAAAGAATGTGTGAGGACAAAATGTGTAAAAATAAATTAAAAATCACTCTCTCAGGCTCAGAATTAAGGGCGACCAGCACATAAGTAACTGCTGGGAAGCATTAGCCGATGACCCAGGTGCTTTGGCCGTTGCTACCCCATGCCGCTTCAGGCTCCTGCGTAGGCTTTTGCGGCCATTTGGGGAGTAAACCAGTAAATGGAGGATTGCAGTGTTTGTCTTTGTCACTCTGCCTTTCAAATAAGCCTGTCTTCTTTACAATACTAAATTTGGAAATGTTTGCTACATTTTTCTACATGCTCATTGGTTTGACTGACTTGAGATGATGATGAGCTGCGCTCAGGAAGTAAGCATTGAGGGGCAGACTAAAGACAGGATCAGAAGGAAGGTAAAAGGGCTGTAGGAAACTTTCAGAACACCATGCTGTCACCTGCTGTCAAGACCAAGTTTCCTTTGAAGAGTCATTAAATTGTGTCACAGCTCCATTGGCTTAGAGGAATGAGAGCCAACGCAGAGGAGGAAGCAACTGTTCTGATTCAGGAATAGTAGTACTGGGAGCTCAGTGTTAATGCAAGGACAGTCTGGCCCTGAAGTTTATAACCACAAAATGGTATCCCTGTTTAAGTATCTGTTGTCCCTACTTCTGGCTAAGCAATATGAATGTCAAGAGAGAAAATAACTTAGTCACAGTTACCTTCTGATCTTCAGGGCCCAGAGTGTGTTCAGTACCTTCAGCAAGAATACCTGCCTTCTTTGCAAGTGGCTCCAGAAATAATTCAGGTAAGAGCTGCCTTAGTTGATTTTTGTTTGTTGGAGAAGTATATCTATGTTACATCTCATTGCTTGTAAATTCAAGAAAGCCAGACTGTTCAACTTGGTATTTTGCTGTGTATAGGACAGTGAGAGTTCTTAGCGTAGAGATCTAACTTCGAAGGCTGTGTGAAACTGAATGGGAAAAACCTTAGATTTCTATTTTCACTAACCTCCAACAGAAATTTAATTTCCTGCCATTGTGTACCAAACACAATGGACATATCAATAACAATGCCCGTGACTTTGCCCAGTAGAATTCACAGATACTTTATATCTTGTGAGTTTTTGTATCTTGAAATGTTTTTATGCTTGTTGCTTTTAAAATTAGGTAATTACTGTGTACCTTGTTGCCCAATAAGTTAACTCTTACTATCCTATTTCATTTTAAATATTTTTAATAACTATAACTCATTGTAGTTGATTCCCTTTACAATATCACGTATTAAGTTTTATATATATATGTGTGTGCAAGTAGATGTGTAAACATTCTATAAGTTTCATCTGCTTCCCCAGACTAAGGGGACCTGCACATAAAAACACCTTTGTTTTTAAGGTAGTCCATTGTACATATGTCGTGTTTATCAATGCTTAATATGCAGATTTGAAGCTATAGTAAAGGTAAGTGGCTAGGTTACCTTATCTTTCATTCTTTACAAACCCAAAAGGAAGATTTCTGGGTCATATAGAAGTTTTATTTTTGATTTTTTGATGAATTTTTATGCTACTTTTCATAGCAGCTACACTTGTGCATTCTCTCAGCATACATCAGTGGTTCTCTATATCTCACCAACATTTGCTGCTTAAAAGTCAGAGTTACAGAGGGAGGTGGAGACAGATCTTCCATCTGCTGGTTCACTTGCCAAATGACGACAGTGACCACAACTGAGATGGTCAGGTGCCAGGAGCTTCTTCTGGATCTGCCACATTCCCACAAGGGTACAGTGGCCCAAGTCCTTGGCCATCCTCTGCTGTTTTCCCAGACCATTAGCAGGGAGTTCGATTTGAGGTAGAGCAACCAGGATTCAAACCAGTACCCATGTGGAACGCCAGAGCGGCAGGTGGAGAACTAGCTTGCCATATCACTGCACTGACCCCTGCTGCTATGTTCTTTTAATACTGTCCTTCTTAATGAGTGTAAGATGAATCACCCCAAGCATCTGGGCCTTGCCTGCTTTTCCAGACCATCAGCAACTGGATAGGAGTAGAGCAGCTGAGACTCAAACTCACTCAAACAGGGTGCCAGCATCACAGGCTAGACTGTCTATACCACAGTGACAGCCCTTTTTCTTTCCAAGGCAGAAAAGAGGAGACAGAGAGAGATCTCCCATCTGCTCTGTAAATGGCCGTTACAACTGGAGCTGAGCTGAACTGAAGCCAGAAGCTTTCTTTCTGGGTCTCCCATATGGGTGCAGGTGCCCAAGAACTTGAGCCATTCTCTGTCTGCTATTTTCTCAGGAACTAAGCAGGGAGTTGAATTGGAAGCTGGCACTCAAATCAGCACTCATATGTGATACCAGAGTAGCAGGCAGAGGATTAGCCTATTATGCCATAACACTGGCCTCTTTATTTGACAAATAAAACATATATTTTTGGGCCCTGGCGCAGTAGCCTAGTGGCTAAAATCCTTACCTTGCATGCACCAGGATCCCATATGGGCTCCGGTTTGTGTCCCAGCTGCTCCACTTCCCATCTAGCTCCCTGCCTGTGGCCTAGGAAAGCAGTAGAGGACAGCACAAAGCCTTGGGACCCTGAACCCAGGTGGAAGACCCAGAAGCAGCTCCTGGCTCCTAACTCAGGGTCAGCTCAGACCAGTTGTTGCAACCAACTGGAGGAGTGAACCAGGAGATGGAAGATCTTTCTCTCTGTATCTCCTCTCTGTAAATCTAACTTTCCAATAAAAATAAATAAATCTAAAATATAAAGATGGATAGACAAAATATGTTATCTGATAATAATGGAATTAAAAGAAATGTAGTATAGTGATTTCTGAACCACATGCATAGTTCTTTCATAGTATATATCACAGCCTTTTTGCTAAGATCAAGTGCAGTTATTTTTTAGGCAGATTTACACAGAGAAGGAGATATAGACAGAGATCTTCTGTCCCCTGGTTCATTCCCAAATGTCTGCAATGGCCAGAGCCGAGCCAATCTGAAGCCAGGAGCTAAAAGTCTGTTCTGGGTCTCTCATGCAGGTGCAGGGCTTTGAGCTCTCGTCTACTGCTTCCCAGGATACAAGCAGGGAGCTGGATGGGAAGTGGAGCAGCTGGGAACACAAGCTGGCCCTTACGTGGGATGCCAGTGCTTGGGGTTGGAGGATTAGCTAATTGGGGCATTGTGTCACCCTGTCCTCCCCCAAACTTTTTAAAGCACTCTGTTAAATACAATGAAATATAATCAGTCTTGAATAAAGACAAGAATATCTCTTGTGACAGAAGGGATGAATCTAAGATGTTATGTTAAGTAAAAAGTCATAGAAAGACAAATAACCACGTGGTCCACTTGTGTGGGATACCTACAGTGTCAGACTCAATGGAGCGGAAAGTAGAATGGCGATTGCCAGGAGCAGGGAAGAGAGGAATGGGAGTTCAATAAACAGTTCCAGTTTTCCAAGATGGAAAAGTTTTCAGCTCTATTGTGAAGTATTGTCCATGTAGTTGATATTACAAGTAGAAGTGATTAAGATAATACACATTTAATTTTCAATCATGATTTTTTTTTTAAATATGTTATTTGAATTAAGATGAACTTACCAAAAAACATTGATTCTCCTGTTTTTCACTTCTCTCACCTCCCAGGAGTTCTGTCAAGCACTTCAGCAGCCTGATGCTAAAGTTTTCAAAAATTACCTAAAGGTAGGTATTTGGAAAACTTAGACATCTTCATGTAAAAGGCTTTGATTGAGTTCTCAGTTCCCAGCTTCAGCTTTGGGGGTTCCTGACTTGGGTGCCCAAGATGCCAGGGTTCACAGACAGGGTTTCTCAGCAGCCACAGGCGCCCGCTATCCTTGTGGAGTGAGGAGAAGCTGGGGATGAGAAGGGAGATGCTGGTAGGGTGCCCACCCAGCTCTGTCTCACCCTTCATTCCCTCTTGCTACCCTGCTCCCGGGGAGGAGGATGAGGAATTTGGTTTCCCTGGTGGAGAAGGACAGCTTCCTGCATTATAGTTCCTGCTGTCTGCAGAAGGCCCAGGGACAGCCAAAAGCCTTGACGTGTGGTGGTGGCAGCAGGGGAGGGGTTTTGGAGGGAACAGAGAAGACCAGAAACAATAAAGCCACTCCTCATTGACTTAATCTGATTCTCTTGATTATTCTAGTAATGATGATCTGTTTAAAAACATTAAACATGTCACATCCATTTCTCTTCCTCATAGACTTTTTTTCTGAAGATACACATATTTTCAAAAAAAGTTTAGTTGAAAAATTTACATATATTCATTGGAAAGTCAGGTTTATAGAGAGATTGAGATACAGAGGTCTTCCGTCCAATGGTTCACTCCCCAAGTAGCTGCAATGGCCTGAGCTGAGCCAATCTGAAGCCAGGAGCCAGGAGCTTCTTCTGGGTCTCCCATGCAGGTGCAGGGTTCCAACGCTTTGGGCCATTCTCTACTGCTTTCCCAGATCACATGCAAGGAGCTGGATAGAAAGTGGAGCAGCTGGGACATAATCCAGCATCCACATAGGATCTTGGTGCTTGAAGTGAAGTAGGAGAGTTAGCCCTTTGAGCCATTGCACTGGACCCTCTCATATTCATGTGTTCACAGACCACCTTTTTGGTTTTTCTTGCAAGAACAGATTTTAACACTCCCCTTTTTAGTTTCTCCTCCAATATGAAGTCTACCCATTCTGGGTTTGGTTTCTTGTTGTTGTCGTTGGAAAGGCAGATTTACAGACAAAAGACAGAAAGTTCTTCCATATGCTGGTTCACTCCTCAAGTGAGTGCAACTGCCAGAGCTGAGTCAATCCAAAGCCAAGAACCAAGAGTTCCTGCCAGGTCTCCCACACAGGTGCAGGGTCCCAAGGCATTGGGCCATTGTCCACTGCTCTCTCCGGCCATAATCTGGGACCTAGTGGGAGTGGCAATCCAGGACATGAACTTGTGCTCATATGGGATGGTGGAGGATTAGCCAGTTAAGCCAATGCACTGGCCCCCTGTGCTTTAATTTTTATTTATTTTTAAATTCGTTTTCATTTTATTGGAAAGGCAGAGAGCTGGGGATGGGCCACATCAGAACTGGTCACCAAAACCTCAACCTCTGTCTTCCTCATAACTGGCAGGAACCCAAGCATGTGAACCACTATCTGCTGCCTTCTTAAGGTGTATTAGCAGGACCCAGAAGGCAGAAGTGGAGCTAGGGCATGTACCCAGGCACTCTGACACGGGATGTGGGTGAAGGAAAGGAGAGACTGCTGACTGACTACTTCAGTGGCTGCAGTGGCCAGGCCAATGCCAGGAACTTCATCTGGATTTCCTACATGGGCCATCTTCCACTGCTTTCCAGTAGGTTAGCAGAGCTCGCTTGGAAGTGCTTCCACAGGACATGACTGGCACCCATATGGTGTTACATGCAACAGCTTTTAGCATGCTATGCTACAATGCCTGCCCCTCTAAATTCATTTTAAAGATAGCTTCCTGCTAAAGTCTTTTCTGTTCATGAAGTTCCTTTTTTTTTTCTCTGCACATAATCAATAGATTATTTGTTAGATCAATTAAATCCACTAGGTGCCATGGAGAGAGTAATAAACACAGCTCTTGAGTTCTGTGACCCACTGCCTATCAATTCCTATTTCTGGGGCTCACTTAATAGCTATATAACTATGGATTGCAAGTATACAACAGTAGGTCAGCCACTGCTTGCTGGCTTAATTATAGTCTGAAGTGCTGAACTGGAAATAATTTCTTTCCTTAAGAAATTAGAACTTCGGGCCCGGCGCGGTGGCACAGTGGGTAAGGACCTCGCCTTGCATGTACCAGGATCCCATATGGGCGCCGGTTCTATCCCGGCAGCCCCGCTTCCCTTCCAGCTCCCTGCCTGTGGCCCGGGAAAGCAGTCAAGGAAGGCCCAAGGCTTTGGGACCCTGCTCCCGGGTGGGATACCCGGAAGAGGCTCCTGGCTTCAGATCGGCATAGTATCGGCCCGTTGTGCTCACTTGGGGAGTGAATCATTGGATGGAAGATCTTCCTCTCTGTCTCTCTGTATATCCGCCTTTCCAATAAAAATAAAATAAATCTTAAAAAAAAAAAAAGAAAAAGAAATTAGAACTTCTGTCTTTAAATGTTATAGCATTAAGTTATACCACATTTTCGTTATAGTCCCAGCTAGAGGATATCAACTTAAGCCATATGTATACTGTCAAATTTCCCAGAAGATAAAGTAGATTGTATATGAATTTATGAAGAATGTGACATTTTTAATACCTGTAGGACGTAAGAATAACTAGCATTCCAAACGCTGGGGAAATTGTCCATGTGAAAGTGGTGCTATCTTCTGACATTACATTAATTATATTAAAATTCTATTTACAGGTGTTCTTCCAGAGAGCAAAGCCCTAAGGACTGGATTTCCCTGTGCCTGACTTCCTGAAAAGAAATTAGCTATTTATGAAGCAGTTTTTGTGTGCCATTCACACTCATCTTTTTAACATTTTTTGAGCTTATTGCAGTGTATGTATTTGGATTTTCTGTAAAATGGGTGTAATTTTCCCTAAATGACAGGTATGTGACAAGAGGAGTTGCATGCCAGCTAAAATTGTTATATGTAAAATGCTGTTAAAAGGTAGCAGTTACCTTCAGTACCTTAATTTTTTTTTATTTGGAACTTCATGTCAAATTCTTTATAAAAACCATAGCAGTGAAAAACAGTGTACTTTTAAAGTATAGAGGAAATATAATAATCAAAACTAATTTTTTGTAGATAACCATTACATTTCTTTAAGCTGTTTCAATGCCAATATGTATTCTACAAAACAGAATGGTTTCATAAATTAATCAATTAAAAAAAGTAGGTGATGGTATTACACTTTTTTTAATAAAATAGTAAATAAATTTTATGTAGTGAAATCTACCAAGTCTTTTCTGGAATTATTATAAATACTTTAGCCTTAATTTCTCATCTTAATGTTTCCTTGATTTCCCACTTCAATATATGTAAAGCTGAGTGTGAATTTCCTGTTTCATTTTATTAGACTTCTATAAAATTATAGGCAGCTTAGTTCTGTAAAAAGAGTTTTGTAAGAATGCACTAAAAAAAGACTCTGTGAATCTGATGATAAAATTCCAAGTTTTTACCCTCATGCTTTGATTGGATGGCGTAGTAGAGTACAGCACACCTATGTGTTTATGATGTGTGTGAATATTAACTGGACACTTTAATTACCACAAGTATTTCCTCCTACCTTTCTTCATTTTTGTTCACTTCAGAAAGCAAGAGAAAAAATGATAATATTAGTACTAGCATTGAATAGGTGCGAAGAGGGGCCAAATCGCAGCAGAATGTTGCAGCCATGGAAGTCCTCCTGTTAAAGCTTTCAGTAGGAGTTTGTACCTTTGGCCAGTGGGTGCCCTGGGGCTTTCGTGGGTGGGCTTCCATGGCCTAGAAATTCGTTAACATTATGTTCTAATATGCGAACAGGAATCTTTTTCTGATTCTAATTCCATGAGGAATTTTAAGGATTTCCTTTATATCATGAAATAAACTAAATTGACAGTTCATTGTAAAAATATATCAGTGAAACAAATGTGTATTATACCTCAATAAAAATGTTTTTAAAAGTAGATAAATGAAAGTTGGGTGTTATTTGGCTAGGTTCCCCTGGACTGAGGGAGAGATGATTGTGTCTACTGCAGTCATGAAGTGTACTGAAGTGTGTCCTTTCCCCATGGTCAAGGCCTTATAGCACAAAGGCCCTTGGGACCCAGCTAGTTAGAGCCCAGTACCAGCTCTGCTCCTAACTGGTTTTAAGCAACTTTTTCTACCTCAGTTTCCCCACCTGTAAAATGAAGAAAATAATGGTAGCTACCTCATAACTCATTAAAGATTTAGTAACATGTTACAGTAGCTAGCACAGAAATGTTTGGTAATAGTTTGTATTACTGTGCTGCCGACTGATTATACGGAAAGTTGACACCCCCAACTCTGCTCTTTAGAAGATTCTTGTATGTTTAGAGATACGTTGGGACATGGAAATAGTTTTAACAAAAATAAAACATAACGTTACATAAGTATGCGTATGAATTCCCATGCTTGTTTCCTGAAGTTGCCCAGAGAGAGCATCATCACAATCATTAATGATTTTATTTCCAAAAGCAAGCACCTAAAGATCGAGGGTGAATCTCCACCGGTCACCGGTCAGATAGCCCAGGCCAGAGGCAGGAATCTGATTTAGGCATAAATAACAGCAGGTTTTATGACGCCTGGTCCAGTCCTGGGCCTAGCAGTTCATTCAAACCTGAACAAGAGCTGTGCCCATGTAGTCTTTAATACTGTAGTATTTTTAGTGTGTTTCTATGATGTAATCACGTGATCAAGGCAGTCCGGTTAGTCACATTTTCTTCCACAACCTTGAACTGTGGGTTTCAATGACTGTAAGCAGTGGGTAGTCTGTTACTAGGATGATTTCGGCACTTTAACGTTGTCTTACAATCTAATAAAAATCACTTACCAAGAACTCAGTAGAGTGGGCTTTTGCCATCTTCATTGTGTAGTGATAAAACACGCTTGGGTCACAAACTCGCTGGAAGTCGGTCCTTGGCAGGGGGAGCTGGGGCGGCAACCACAGTCTGTCCTATTTCAGTCTCCCCTACGAGAAGCAAGCTCTCCTTGGAGATGCTGCCCTGCACCTGCAGGAGTCTGCCCCACACCTTAGGGCAGCGCGCAGGGCGATCCCTTTCTGGGAAACAGCAGCTCGAGACCTTGGCTGCACGAACACTGCAGCACGGGACCTTCGTGCTGCTCAGTTCTTACATGAAGTTTAGAACCAAGTTCTGCACTGTGGCCATCTGAGAGAGGGTGTGAGGGAACATGCTGACGTTGAGGACAGTGGCTCCACCGCGGTGAAAGCAGGCTTCTAGAAACAGGTGGAACTAGATCTGGCCGGACTTAGACATCCCTGCGGGGGACGGTCCCCCCGAGGTTACAGTGTGGACATCAACAGCTGCGCACGCTCCGGCACCGAGCGGGGATCGCGGCTCGCGTTTCCTGCGCAGCGCTGCCCGCCTGTAAACCCGAGCGAGCAAGCGAAGCGCAAGGGGACAGGCGGACGGTGCCAGCCACGACCTGCACCAGGAGCACCCGGGGCTCCCACCCGCGCCAGGGGCGGCGACGGCGGCCGCGCGGGCCGGCAGGCGTGCGCACGCGCACCCGCACGCCGGCCGTCGGTCACGTGCCCCGCGGCCAGGGCTGGCGAAGCCGGAAGCGGCCCGGGGCGCCAGGAGGCCTCGGGATCCCGCTGGCTGTGGCGTGGCGGAGACCCGGCCGGGTGAGCGGGCGCGGGTGTTGGGGCCGTAGCGGTGTGGGGGCGCGGGTGGCCGGGCCTGGCGCGGCGCCGGGCGCTCCCAGCCTCCTGGAGCGGGGGCATGCTGAGTCAGGGCTGCTGACCCGAGGGGCCCCCGCACGACCCGAAGGCCCTGGCTGCCGGGCGTCCACAGCTGGGCAGCGCGGGCGCGCGTGGGCCCTGCCCCGTCCTTCTCGACTCCTCGGCCGGCAGCCGGCCCTCTGCCCCGCAGCCCGGGCCCTCTGCGCTGGCCGGTGGCGGTGGGCACTCAGAGGACGGGGCCCGGGGCCCGGCGGCCGGGGAGGATAGGGTACCCGCCGGGGAGGATAGGCTAGCTGCGATCGGCAGGTTGAAAATGGATTTATGCCTCACATGATTACAAAGGGACGTGTCGTTGTGGTTTCAGCGATGTTAGCTGAGATTGACTCACACCGGAAGCTAGAAGCCAAAATTTTTTTTTTTAATGTAAACGAGTGAAATACAAGTTCCCAAATGCTGCCTGACTCCTTGTTGACTTGGCTTATGGTTTTCATTTCCGATCCATTCTCCAGGTGATTGTTATGGGTGGCCTCAGAACTGGTTCTCTCTGGTAATAGGCGTATAACCAAAGCTGATCCTTTTTTCAACTTGGGACCCCTAATCATCCTATCTCTTTACTGTTTCATGTAGTGGTTAGAGCTTGAAAATCCTGGAACTTTGACAGTAGGCTATGTCGCCAGACCTGTTTGCAGCCTTGGACAGAGGGTAACTTTCCTTTTGGACAGCGTGGAAGAGGAGGCTGCAGACAGCCCCTCAGATAACCTCAGAGTACTTGTTGAGTCGGAAATCTCTCTTGTAAGGGTTTCTCTCTTGGAGGGTTTCTCTCTTGTAAGCACCGTGGGGGTGCTGAGTCATGTGTCAGTCAGCCTGAGTTGTGGTGGGGTTCATGGAAGACATTTCCCCCTGATAACTCTGGTGAGACCATTTTTGCATCTGCATCTGGAGAGCAGATGTCTTAGTTCATCAGCCTGTTTTGTGTTATCCATAAGGTACCCCAGGGTACTGTTGGCCATTCACAGCTGTCTGAAACAGTTACATTAATGAGGGATGGTCTGTCATTAGTCTCTAGGGACGTTGGTTGCCTCTTAAATGGAGTACGATAATTGACAAATGTGTATTCCCTGTTGGTGAGAAGGGAATCTCGTTTTTATCTCTTCTTTCCAATAGCTGTTTATATGTGCTGTGTATCTGAATTAGATGTGTGTTAAAATTATATAAAAATAGCCAGTGTACCAGATATAGGTGGGCTTATCTGCCTGGCAGTTGGATATGTTCTGTGCTTCTGATATTGGCAGTTATTAATTCAACATTGGGATGCCTAGTCCAGCAAACTCATGCTGCTCTTTGTTTTAACTTATTATGAAGAGATATTAATGCAAGTTCGTAAATGCTCTTGATAGACACATGTGCAGATTTAGAATGTATGTTGAGATGAGTGTCTTTGCTGGGTTGGTGTTCTTCTTTTTATTTTTTGCGACCACCGGACTCGAGTATTTCCAATATGTTTAAGTTCCATAGCTTTTCGGTGTGGAAGCATGAAGCTAGAGGTGACACCTGTTTTTTTAGGACTTGGAATACATAGCTGGTATATTGTATTTTTGTATGTTGGAAGTCAGAGAAGCCATCCTTAACTTAGTTTCAGAAGAGTTAGTAACTTTTCAGGAATAATAGTTCTTGTACCTTTGGGTTATGACTGTCAAGCTGGGTGTAGGTGAAAATTTAGGGTTATGTTGTTAAGTAAGTTGTTTTCATCTATGTTGCCTAGCCCTAGAGGAAAACAAAGCAATTGTTGTGTATGCCTTATCGTTTTACATTAGGACTTAAAACATTTTGATATATCTTATTGGTTCATCTTTCAGAACATTTGAAGGAGGTTAGTAGCCAGTATCACTCATATTCAAAGGCAAAATGAGAAGGGAAATGCATGCTTATACCCAACAGTACGTGAGCTACATCGAATATGTAAGATACCAATGGTAAATGGTTTTTCTGAGTCCACAAAGCATGCTAGCCTTTAATATTGCTAGAAACACGGATGCTTACTTTGTCCTGCTTACACATTTCAAGTCAGCAGTAGCTAATGGAGGTCTTAACTGAGCCCAAAAGGCAGCTAACAGTTACTCCTTCACTGTATTGTTTATATGAAAACATGCTAAACATGTTCTTATCTCTTAGTGTAGCAAGAGGATCACCTGACCCAGCCGAGATGCAGAGCACTTCTAATCACCTGTGGCTCTTGTCGGACATTTTGGGCCAAGGAGCTACTGCAAATGTCTTTCGGGGAAGACACAAGGTTGGTACAGAGAACACTTTGCAGACTTTTGTGAGTACTACGGTAAATACAAATACTCCCTTCTGAGAGGCATACCTACACTGAAGTATGTGGGTAATTTTTTTTTTGTCTGAAGAATTTTGTAATGGTTTTTGTGGTTTCATTCCTGAGTCTATAAAGAAATACTCTGTGTGATATTTTTATGAATTTTAAAAGTGTGATTATGTGAGAGTCAGTCAGCATGTCTGTCCGTTGGAGGCAGAGATTAAAGGAGACAAGGAATAAGGGAAAACTAAGGGGCTGAAAAGAGGCAGGGAAAATACATACCAGTTTAGTGTTGTTCCACAGCTCTCAGCCTGGTCCCTGTGGCAGCGATTTGGAGATGAAAGCATGCGGAACCCACAGATGATTCTGATGTATTCCCACTAGAATAGCATCATAAAGGGTAGAACAGAATGAGATTCTCCTCCAGGAGAATCTCCTCCTCCTGGAGGAGAATCTCAAGTAGAAAAGGCTAAATATCATGGTATGAGGTAATTAGAACCTGGTACTGGAAGTGGGGATAGAATAAACGGGTTAATTCCAGAGGTGCTTCTCCAAGAGCCAAAAAGATTTAGTTTCAGATTTGATACTGGAGGATGAAATGAAAGATAATTAAAATAACTTAAAATTGAGAAATTAAATAGTTTCTGTTCTGGGAAGGAGGCTGGAAAAGTAATGGAGGGGAAAACAACCTTTTCTTATGCCAATAATCAGTGATTTTCTAGCATTAATTTGTGTGTATGTGTTCAAGATTTGTTTATTTGAAAAGTAGAGTGACACAGAGGGAAGTCTTCCTTCAGTATGTTCACTCCTCAGCTAGTCACGGCAGCCAGGTCTAGGCAAGGACAGAGCCAGGAACCAGAAACTCGATCCTTGTCTTCCACGTGGACGGCAGGGGCCAAAGTACGTGGGCCATCTTCTGCTGGTCT